ATGTTTCTTATTCATTTGCATTTCATATGAATATATAGGGAGTTGCTTTATTTTTATCATCTTTTTCTATTCAGTTTAGAAGCAATTTTTAGGTAACAATTTTATATACTGCAGTAGAGGTCTCATAGATTTCAGTGCGTTTGTTATATTTTTTTTTCCAAAGTAAATGAAATGTAGTATACAAGTTCTTGTTGAATAATAATTAGTTACATAAAGACAATTTTAAGAAAACGCCCTTTTCACTCCAATTCCTAACATTTAGATAAATATCATAAATTATTAATTTTAACATATGCAATTTATTATATCTGTGTAGGGAAAGGGAAGCAACTCTATGTCAAATTAAAATCATGATGTCATGGATTATGTGCAGCTATCATTCGTTGTTTAATATTTCAAGGGTACAATTATGCTCATCTATCCATTTTTTTTTGCAGACAGAAGAAAAATATATGATGCAAAAAGGCCACTTTAAAATGTTATTCAATGTCTTCATCATAGGAAGATATGACATAAAACACAGGGGCCCCACACAGTGTTTGGATGGTATATACTGCTTGATAGTGACTTTAAAATGAGATTTTAGTCATAACCTTATAATATGTAGGTTATGACTAAAATCTCATTTTAAGGTCACTATCAAGCAGTATATACCATCCAAACACTGTGTAGGCCCCCTGTGACATAAAATGTTCAGTAGTTTGGTAACATAAGACATCATGTAACAGTGTTGAAGACATGAAGGTAATAATGTCCTATTAAGGGGGATAAATGTAGAAACAATTATGTTAGAGTAATGAAAATTATCACAATGAAAAATATATTTGAAGAATAAAGAAGATAGAGTAAAAAGTAACACAATTTTAATGAAAGTTCTATTTTTCAAAGGGGAGTTAATTCTTGAAATCTTATATTAATTATTCATGAAACCTAGGTTGGACAACATCCTACATATCTAAAATATCTTCCTTGTGGTTTCTGAAAAATATTCATTGTTATAAAACAAAATTGCCATAAGCAAACTCAAAACTTGCATGTTAATCATAATTGTGTTTACTAAAATCTATGGAGAATGATAAGTTACAATAGAAATATAAAGCTTGCTGATTTATTTGTTTTAAATCAGGTTATGTTACATATACAATAATTTCACAAGCAAATCATACCAATTCAAACATTCAGACACTAATTTCAATATCTTATCTCTACATTGTACCATAACATATTGGTATCCACCTCATCCAAAAATCTTGTCTAACCTCTTATTCTATGTTAACAATATATAATGGAACTTTTTTTAAAAAAATGGCCTGCCATGACTTAAATTTGAGGTAATTCAATGCTTTCATGAATACAATAATGCTTAAAATACGCAGGTTGTAACATTGTTTGCTTAAACTATCAAGCTTTGCTCAGCTTACGTGAAGGTAAGCTCTATACTTATGACATATGGTGGTGAAAGCTAGCCTTCCCGTTGTTTAGTAACCATAGTTTGGCTTTCACATTAAATCCTCTGCATCTAATGCATTAATGTCTTACACCTAGTCCATTTCTCACGAACTATCTTGTCAAAGACAAGGCTGTATTCAATGAAAGATCTATTTTGGTTGCATTTACAACACAATTACAACATACTAAAGTCATGTCACAACAGCAAATAAACATGTACTTAAACTACTTAATTTGAGCATATAAGACTTGCTGTGTGTTGTTTAGTGAGGATTTATGAGTCTTTTGACACTTTTAAATATAAAACTGGTGGTTTTGGGCTTACTGTTAGAACAGTATTTTAGTTGTATACCAGCAAACTAACATTCAGTCTATGACTAACACAGAATTGAAACAATCTGCTTAAATATAAATATGTCTATTTCAAAACAAGATATACATTTTTACTCCTAATATAATGTTGTGTTTAAATAATAACTAAAACCTTACTTCTAAATTATCTTCACATTTACTATTTTGTAACCGTATAGTGAAGGGTGTATGGGTTCTGGTTCCCAAGAACATGTAGATATGAAATTTTTTGTTGCATACCACAAAAAACAAAAACAAAACAAAATTTACTTATACATATTCATAAAAGGAGTACTTCATTGAAGTCTGTTCATGAATGTTTCAGTGTTCATCATGAATGTTTCAGTATTCATCATGAATGTTTCAGTATTCATCATGAATGTTTCAGTGTTCATCATGAATGTTTCAGTATTCATCATGAATGTTTCAGTGTTCATCATGATTGTTTCAGTGTTAATGAATGTTTCAGTGCTCATTGAATGATTCAGTGTTCATGAATGTTTCATTGTTTATCATGATTGTTTCAGTGTTCATCATGAAAGTTTCAGTGTTCATGGATGTTTCAGTGTGCATGACTGTTTAAGTGTTCATCATGAATGTTTGTGTTCATGACTGTTTCAGTGTTCATGAATGTTTCAGTGTTCATGAATGTTTCAGTGTTTATCATGAATGTTTCAGTGTTAATGAATGTGTTTCAGTGTTTATCATGAATGTTTCAATGTTCATGAATGTTTCAGTGTTAATAATTATGTTTCAGTGTTCATGCATGATTTTTTAAGTGTTTAATAGCACCTCATTGAAAAAAGGAAAATTAATGTAGAGAGACATTAATAAATATATCTTTAGGCTTATTTTGCTACAAGTATTATATGGAGATAAAGATGACATTAAAGTTTTTGATCCCAGTGAAATGTAACACCTTGTTATCTGTTCTTTATATCAATTTGTAATTAAAAAAAACACTAGAGACCAAAAACCTTAACTCTTTAAAACTAATACTACAGTTAGGCAAATAATTTGCTCTCTTCATGCAATTTACAACAGTTAGTTACATTTCATTTTATCTCAGTACTGGAGTTAGGCATTATGATTTTCTGACATTCAGCTTTTTTTGTATAAGCAGAACACAGAGCAATCTTTTGAGGATCCATCACTTGTACTTCATATGAACTAATATATAAAACTTAGAAGAATAAACCTGGGAAAAATTTACAAAGTAACTTGTCAAATGGTGATAACATTAGAAATAACCTTTTCCTTAGTCATTAAAACATTGCTGTTTGTACAGTAATTAGAACTTTAAAAAATAATTATCTTTAAACCTGAATCTGCTGGCGGCTATTCTACCGATGCTGACAGTGGAGACCAATATTACACATCTGTGTCGTCTAATCACAGTCTGCACTGTTTGCTTTCTAAAAATTACATGTATTCTTTTTGAAATTTCCCTTAAAATGATAAACGGTTTGGTCCAGATTGAAAGACAGACAAGTCCATTTTATTGGGATAATGGTTAATTTGTTAACTTACATCAATTAAGATACATATTAATAGTATAAAGAAAACATCCACTTATTTGTTTACCATTTGTATCTCACTAAATCTAAATAACACTAACGCATTAGATTCTCTTGCAGCATTGCCATTAACAATTCAAATACTTATAGGCCCCTTGTGGCTGAGAGGTTGCCATAAATGGTTGAAGCATAAGAATAAGAATTGCAGCCATGGTTTATCTCTGCGTGATTATAAAAAAGGGACTAAATGGGTTCAAATAACTGAAGTATATGCATCTCTTAGCTCTAGCAGGTGAGGTGGTGTTACTTTGAGGTAGTGACTTTGAATTATGTTACACTAAAATTTAGCTAAAATCATCTTTCCTGCTTTCGTGCCATATGACCTTTACTGTGTTGGTGCGCCATAAAACTTAACCAAACCAATATTAGTAGCAATAACACAAGTACAGAACCAACTTATCTATTTTAGAACTGTGTGTCTATTATTCAGTACAATGTTTCAATAAATGGCCATACCGGTATATTAAACAAACAAACAACACTTGCTACAATGTTGTTTTTTTTCCTATATAATTATCAAAACAGAATTCTTTGCTAAAATAGCAAAACATACTAAGCTTGTGTTTCATAATCAATAGAAATTTATTATATTGTCTTCGCATGTGGTCCATCTCATGTTTGATCAGCATGTACATGTACTATGTTAAAAATAACATATGTCAAGGTGAACTTAAAACAGATATATTGACAGGAACCAGGCCTCCTCTTTGTATGAAACAAGTAACAAGATTTTACAATTAGGAAGCACTGTCAAATGATGTAAATTTGTGATTTGTTGGCTAACATGTTTGAAATTTGTTGAGCTCAGGTGTTTTTGTTATTTGGCCGTGTTAAGATGTTTGTAATTTGTTGGGCTCAGATTTTTGTATTTTATTAACCTCAGATGTTTGTACTTTGTTGAGATCAGTTGTTTGTATTTTGTTGGGCTCAGATGTCTTTTATTTGTTGGGCTCAGATGTTTGTACTTTGTTGGGCTCAGATGTTTGTACTTTGTTGGGCTCAGATGTTTGTACTTTGTTGGGCTCAGATGTTTGTACTTTGTTAGGCTCAGATATTTGTACTTTGCTGGGCTCAGATGTTTGTATTTTGTTGGGCTCAAATGTTTGTAATTTGTTTGGCTCAGATGTTTGTATTTTGTTGGGCTCAGATGTTTGTATTTTGTTGGGCTCAAATGTTTGTATTTTGTTGGGCAATTTGTTCGGCTCAGATGTTTGTACTTTGTTAGGCTCAGATGTTTGTATTTTGTTGGGCTCAGATGTTTGTATTTTGTTGGGCTCAGATGTTTGTATTTTGTTGGGCTCAGATGTTTGTATTTTGTTGGCCTCAGATGTTTTTACTTTGTTGGGCTCAGATGTTTGTACTTTGTTGGGCTCAGATGTTTTTACTTTGTTGGGCTCAGATGTTTTTACTTTGTTGGGCTCAGATGTTTTTACTTTGTTGGGCTCAGATGTTTGTAATTTGTTGTGCCGAGGTGTTTGTATTTTGTTGGGCTCAGATTGAGCAAAAAATATAATGACAAAATAGTTTATTTTGCTCAAATTAGCTTATCTTTCTGTAGAACTCTAAAGTTAAAATGGCAATTCTTACATGGGATCTGTACTGCTATGAAAAAAGATAAAACTGTTTTCTGCTTTTTGTGAAATATTTATTCTATTTGACAGAAAAACAATGAAATAGTACATGTACAATAAAATAAGCCCCTATCAAATCATGATAGTATTTTAGTTATTATAAAAGTTTTCTTTGCTCTAGTTAGGATGGCAACTTAACCAAGTGCATTTGAACTATTAATATTTGTTAAATAACACCTATATCATACATTTTCATTGGATACTTTGATATTCAGTGGGCTGTCAATGTGGTTTAATTTGACATTCAGTGACCTGTCAATATGTTTATCAATTCTGTATCGTACAACTCCATTGGAAATATCTTATCAAGTGAGATCCAAATATCCAATAAAACACAACTTTATATATTATGTAGAATAGGCTCGTTTACATATTGACAAACCATGCCACATTTTTTAGAGGTACAGTCAAGGGAAAATTCACTTTTTCAGTACAGTTGAAACACATGTCTTATTTTGTTGTTAACATATTATAAAATAATATTTTTTTTTTGTACAAATTTATTCTGCTATACTTAAACCTGTACTTTTACATCATGATTGATATGAAAACATAAATAATGCCACCAATTTTCTTTTGACGAGTATTATGTACTTTTCAGCCTTTGCTCTCTGATCGTTACGATATACCCTTAAAAATATAATTATCTTGTAAATGTACAACATTGCAAATTGAATAATAATAAATTGAAAAGATTTTCATTCTATATTTTATTCTAAATAGACAACATTTTACAGTGTCTCTGTGCTGAGTTTGTATTATTATAGTCAGTGTATGTATCATACATTGCTGGTAACGTGTTAACCTTGAAGTAATTGAATATATGTCATGTTTTATAATCATTAGAATATCACGAGGTTGATAACTTGCTATGAGTGATCATATACATATGGCGTTGTCTGGTAAAACGTTAAAACATTATCTCGAGTTTTGATCATTATTGTTTTATAATCAGCTCGTACGATCATAATTCAACTGTTACAGACGTCTGTTTCATTGCGTTGTAAATGTAAGTATTGTTAACAGGCACAAACTGTTGTGTGATTATTTTTATGGCTTCCTGGGCTGCAGCGCCACCTATGAACGATGCCATGGTATGTAACTCCGATGCCCCATAGCGACACCTGAAATATTTGAACAAACAACATCTATACATAATAAAACATGAAGAATTCAAGTGGTATTTTTATTTCTTGCATTTTAAACCATTCATATTTGGCACTGCATGAAATATCACTCCTTTAAAGGAAAATTGGCCTTGCTTTGGTCAAGTTATACCCCTCACACAGACACTATTGAGGTCATGAGGCAAATTTTCTAGCTTTACAGGCAGAGGCATTGGATACCCTTCCATGTATTATTTCAATCACAGGCCTGTATATGACTATACTGTATGAGTGAAGCAATTATGAAAGCTAGCTTCATGGTATTCTCACATTAAATCATGGGATGACCCTAGTTATATTCAAACCCAGTGGTGAAACGCAAGTGGTTTGTATGCAGCTGCTTCTATCACTTTGGCCATTAGGCTTTAACAATAGCTGACAGCATTAATTAGTACATTATGTTATGAAATATAACACATTATACAACACAGGTTCACTTTTTCTTTCAAGGGGAAAGAACTTTTAAGCAAATAGCTTTCATAACAGTTAAAAAAAACAGCTGAACTTTAAGTATGTACAATTTATACATCATAACAGATTAACCAATGGCAGAAAAAATCTTGCAGTGTTTATCTATTCTACACATAAATATCATTCATAGTGTAGGATCACATTTTATTTCATTCAATTTTCTTATATATTTAAAGATAAAAATGAATAAGCAGACTACATTCATTAAAAAATCAGCACTTACATTTCATGTACAAAATCATCTTTAATATTACACGACAGTCCCCAGTCATGAAGTAGCTTGCTAAGGCAGTTCTGAAAAATAAATAAAGGAAAAATATCTTATTTATTTATTCTATACAGACTGCACAATATCATATAACATTCAACTCTTTTCTTTAAACCATGAACTGCAAAGATTAATTTTTTTTTAAAAATACAGGTACAGTTCAACCTGTGATTAGTACATTCTAAAAATAAACACTACATAGAGAAAACCCGTAGCGGAGATCATGATTTAACATTCTTTTATAAACAATCATACCATTCTTGTGTACAATGGCCTGTTTATAAAGACCAGTAGTTAAAAAGGCAGCCTTTTTTTGATTTCCTAATTCTTTGAATGCTCTGGCATATACAGAAATTATCAGTTCCTTGCAATAGTGAAGGCAACTAGTACAGGTAAACTGCAATACAGCCTGCCCAGTAACAATGTTGTGGCTGAACTGTGATTGGGTAAATTTAGGCTTACTGCCGCGATCTAGAGTGAAAACTACAAACACCACCACCTAAGAGCCAGCTAATCTTTGTCTGCACTTGTTGTGTGGGTAAAATCTGTTGCCTCTTACAGGCTAAAGGTGAATTCAATGCCCTGGGAAGTGCATAATGTTCTCTTATTCCTTTTTGGTTTGAACATGTTCCTGCTTAGACAGTGATTAAATTATTTCATATGATTTAAATTTGCTGAGAAAATATTATACATGTATTTAACTTATATGTGTAGAGATATATATTGACTGGTATAACTGAAGTGTATTTCTTCCCAGTATGATCCAGACAGTTTGATGTAAATGTACCATCTGTCTCAGTTACATGTTTATAACCTTTAATATGAAGTTATTACCATATTTTTTGTATTTAAAGCTACATGTCTCTAGATGAGTCAAAATATTTCAACTTGAAAAAAAAATGTACTTAGATGGAAGGAATAGTATAAAGTTTCAAGATTCAAGTAATATTTTACATATTTTGTGCGATAAATGACTGATTTTTCAGTCTTTACAACTATATTTCTATTGCATTACTAATGCAGTAAAGGCTTTTTATGCATATTTTGACCTCTTTTTTGGTAATTTCGGTGATTTCTAAGTGCCAGTGATAATGTGTAAATTGCTTCCTTTTGGTAACTTCATAATATTGCACATTCAAATAAATTTTCAAAATGTTCATGAAAATTAGCATGAATCTGGAGGCATTCTGCTGTAACTCACCTATACAGGTTTGAGGTGATGCAACAAAATTAAAACAGGAGACAAAAAATAAGTATCTTCGTTTGAATGTCATAAATGGAATGTACAAAGTGGCATTTATCAGACATCTTGGTCTGAAGCCTTGATTGTCTGCACTTATAGTCTACACTCATACACTTATCATCTTTTATTTGTATACCCCACATTGAGAGAGGAAATGGGGTGATTTTATAAACCCCTACACATACTTATAAAGCATCTTCCTTGCCAATTAATACCTACTTTGTGTGGAATCTCTCTGGTTTACCATAATCTTCTCAAAACTGATTCAATCAATGCCAATTTTCTTAAATATTCTTAATTTTCCTTATAAGCACATAAAAATGACCCTTTTCAAAATCTTGATGAGCATTTTCTTTTCTTGTACAAGAAAATAAACTGACACTTATAACAGATTAACGAGTATAACTGAAGTTTCACAAGAATTAAAACATAATATATTACCTTTAGTTTAACAACATCAGACTCGACATGATCTGTATACCAGCCAGGATATGTGTTATACTGCTCATAGAATCTATCTACAGCTCGTAGTAATATATAAAATACCACATCATCCGGTTCCTCGTCATCTAAATGCTGACCTGTAATTCATATTGTATTCTAACAATTCACAAAATAAACCTCCAAACATTTACACAGCAAGGCTACAAGGCCAGTTTTTTGCACTTTTATATCATAAATCACCAATTTGTTGAGACATTATACACTAAATTACAAAAGTGTCAATTTGTACCCTGTAAATAAGCCAGTCGCACTACAAGGGTATAACTGCTGGCTTGATTGTGGAAAAGATAAATAATTATGTCAAAGGATTTTCCTAGGAATTTAAGAAAGGGGGTCCATTAACCCCATGTTCAAGATTTTGGAAGACCATTTTTAAGGGGTTGCTACATCGACACATAATTTCAGCAACTGATATCAACTAGAAATTGTAGGCTTTTATTTAAGAAATAAATAGTAGAGCTTGCAAACAGGGTATTTTAAATAGCAAAGGTGCCTTGATTATACAGAAGATCATAATACTATTCATACAAAAGTTACAAAATTACTTCAGAGGAATAGAAATTCTTAAATGGTTGGTGAGTTTTGAGGGTCCTTTGGATGCACTCTGTGGACCAGTGTAAGGGACGAATACCTGTGTAATGGAAAACCCTCAGTGCAGGTGGCAATGAAACAGATAATATGGAATGTTGTATATACCTATATCCTTGATTTTGTCTGAGTGATCACAGTATTCTTGTTCTAAACTTCTACATCTTACCACTCGTATAAAAGCTGCATTCTTACCTAAAACGTAACAATATCTCACACCTATGACTATCAAGACAATATATTTTGAATAATTTAACAATAATGAATCATGATCAATTAAAGTAGCTGACCCACTTATATTACTAATGTTTACAAAATAAAGCATTACTTTATTAGATCAGAATAAAAGTACCAGCACTTGAATTAATTGGTATTTTTAGAAGCAAGAGATGTACAAATCATTTACTGTCATGTAAAAGTATAAACATGTGGGGTAATTCTATCATGTGGTGAAACTTTGAATGGCAAAAATCAAGGACCATATATATAGGAACACATATTTAAGCAATAAAATAAATGTATATTAAAGTCACTTACAGAATGTTTTGATTTCCTGTTCTGATATTCCTCCAGCCTGAAATACAAGGAAAAACATTGTTGCAATTCTGCAAAAAAAAAATCCTTTGGATAAATAAATAAATTTGAAAGAAAAGAAAAGATTTTAAGATTCTGGCATAAAATTGACAATTTTCTTTCTTCTTAATTCATCACATCATACAAACGTGTTTACATAAAACCTTAAAATTCATTGTCATAAAAATTCTTTAAACCCATTGAACATTCCTAAGATTGAAAATATTAAGATTGAAAAACACCTTATTGTTAAATCTTAAATTTATTTTGTGACATTATATTAATTATGACATCTTTAAATAATTTTGTGACATCATTTGATATTCCATGGTGACACAAATGAATTAGTTTAGTGATATCATCTATTATTATAAAATATGATATGGTCTAAACTTAAAAAAAATACAACAAGAAAACCATTGCTGACCAGAATAAAATTCATTAAAATTACTCATGATATGTTGTTTGTTTCTTTTATTGGAGTTAACACATACTGGCACTGTGAAAGGCAACTTTCCACCATTACTGGTGATGGAGGACCTCTGGCCATGTCATTATTTCAGACACAAGCCTAGAACCTGTGTAGAACCATCAACTTCCATAGCCCAGTTGGATAGCTTCCTCACATGTTAGAGTACAAAGTCCCTGATTCTAAGGATTTAAACCTAAAGTGCTCGGGGTGAGTGATCTGAAGCTGTGGTTGCACAAATAGTACATGTATTTTTAACCGAGATTGATAAATACGCCCTAACATGGAGGGGAATACCTTAGTTACAAAGATATTAGATACTTCTATTAGGCACCTTAAAAGCTTCAAACAATATTTATTTACACAAACTTGAAAGAAAACCATCAAGTGTTATGATTAATGCATCCATTATTTCTGAAGAAGAACATGTTTATTTTTTTTTTATTTCAGCTCAGCTGATCTTTAAACATGCCAAATGGAATACCCTTTTGTAACCTCTAAAAGGGGCCAATTTGTGTAATCAACAATTGAGCTGGAGGAGAACACTGTTTTTGATTATTGACACCAAGGCACAGGAGCATCCCCCTTATAGATTTATACCGACAATAAACCTTTTAGTTCTGGTATGATAAAAATACTGTAATAATGTTGTCAGTTGGATGCCACTTTTACAGTTCTGTTAAGATCACTGCTAAAGCTAACACTTAAGAAATGATACTGCATCATCTCATGTGTTACTGTTAATTAAAAGCAATTAATTTGAGCCGTGTCATGACAAAACCAACATAATGGGTTTGCGACCAGCATGGATCCAGACCAGCCTGCGCATCCCCGCAGTCTGATCAGGATCCATGCTGTTCGCTATCAGTTTCTCTATTTGTAATAGAGTTGGTAAGCGAACAGCATGGATCCTGATCAGACTGCGCGGATGCGCAGGCTGGTCTGGATCCATGCTGGTCGCAAACGCACTATGTTGGTTTTGTCGTGACACGGCTCAATTATCATGTTTATATTATAAATGTATATACATGTAAGAAACACACTTGATCATCTTCACCATGACCAGCATTATAAATCTAAGACTTAATACAGACTTAGTACACCTTAAAGCCAATGTAACATAGCAACACAAAATATGCAGAGGAAGAATTTTTTTTATATTCCTTATGCACTTGTCAAATGTTACCCTCCTACATCTTGAGAATAGTAGCTTTGATCTTGACTCTTGAAATATGCAGATCCTGGTAAACGACAGTGAGACAATAAAATTCACACTAATTGCATTGCAAGTTGGACATATCCCCAACAAATCTACCACAGTGACCTGGCTGTGTGGGTGACAGACAAAGAACCCAACTCTGCTCATTTTCCCCACCCCCTACACTGCCCCAGGGATGGGGACAGGGTTGGATTTGACTGGTGCATTTAAACTGCATACACAGGATAGATAATAGGAATAACAACAACTTTTCACATATCAATTTACAGTTTTTTTTCTAGCATAAGATGTAAACTTTTAGATTCATCAAAACAATGAAAAAAAGTTTTAAAAATACCTGTAATTATGATAAGACTACATTAAATACACAAAATATGAAGAAATGTGTCTTTAAACAGGATAAAATAGGTGGGAGACTGACTTTTTTACATAATAAACCCCAATTAAAAGAAACAACAACAAAACTGTAGACATGTAGAGTGAAAATCTTGAAATCTTATCTTTGAATTTTTATATGAAAGGATTATTCAAGAAGAAAAAAAGGACAACTTTTTGTTAGTACTTTTATTTCTTCAGGAAGAAAATGTAAACTTTCGCTAGTGAATACATTGAATTACATTCAATGTAAACATCTCATTAATTGGCAAAAAATCACTTGTGCACCTTATGTTCGAACATAACAATCATAAATATGTTGTTATCAGTTTATATAAAATATATTAGATATATGAATTTAAGCAAAACAATAGGCGCTCTATTATGTACACACAAGTATTAGAAAATGAGAATCAGAAATCTTGCATTTGAAAACACCTCAATTCAAATTTAGGTATCATGATTTTATTATTATTTCAAGATTCAAGATATCCTACCTACAATAATTGTCATTTTAACTGGTTAAAATTTTTTTCAATTTACAAATTGGTTAAGTGACCACAATTTTTGACACCTATTCTTATTTCACATTAGTATTTTTCTATCCTTGCAAAACTACAATGTGTATATATTGTAACAGTTACTGATCTTAGAAAATAATTCACAAGTTGAATACTTTGATCTTAAAATTGAGTGAAAAGTCATATACCTGTAAGTAAAATATAAAATAATTTTCTAACGAATCTTTGGCATAAAATAAGAGTTGCCCCTATTGTACTCTCAAATATGTGTGTTTCAACCCATTTCTTATCAGTAGTTTTTAAAAAATAAACTTGCTATAAGTGTGAGGCAAACCCCAGGGTGAGTACAATAGATCTCTTTATTCTTTCAATAGTTGAGCTAAAAACAACATGACCTCGCTATTATATGCATTTATGTTGAGTTTCATTATAATCTAATAAACAAATGATAAAATATGGCCCAAAATGGAAATGTGCTTTATAAAAATGCCTTTTTTGAAGTAAGATAGACCCATTACTCAAGAACCCCTTGGGTGATTTTCATTAAACTCCGTGTCCATGGCCACTCGGTCATGGAAACCCCCATTATATTACTAGTAGTTAAATATGTAAACTAATAACTAGCTTATGACAGATATATCAACTAAATATTGTACAAGGCTGTCTGTAGGACAGCTAAATCCCCTTCCGCAGCTGAAAAGAAATGTACTTCTTGACCTGTAACCAACCATGACCTTCGTGTTGTGCAATGCATATCATATGAACATTTGCCTATCACAAAAGTCTGTTTCAGTTATTGACCAATTATCTTCCATATTTAGAAGGCTACCTCTGTAGATCCTCTTATTTTGTTTGATTTTTAGGTCAAGGTCTTTGTAACCACGGTAATTTTAGATTTCATATATTGACAAGTTTCTTCCGTATTTGGTTATATTATGCTTGAAGCAAAATAGCTGCTCCATGGTCTTTTAAGTGATATGTCCTGTTTTAACTTATAATACTTATCAGTAGTTTAAAAGATAAAGAGGGGACAGGAAAATGTGGACTTTCTCATTTGACCTTTAACCCATTACTTCATGAGCATTTTGTGAAAAATGACTGTTTTCATTGAAAAGTCTCCCGTTACAAATTCAAATTGCTATAAAACTATAAAAACTGCTTTAATACTTATCAAACTTGGCACAAATGTTGACTCTGGACCATTGCCTTTGCAACAACAAACTAACATGGAGTTAGCTTACAAACCCTATAACAAGTAGAGAACTGATGCCCCCCTTCAAACCCCCCAAACAGAAGGGGGGCACATCCCCCTTCTGGCAACCCTCTGATGTATCTTTTGGTTGGGGGGCTGCGCCAAAAATAAGTGGTCACTTTTTTAAAAACAAAAAGGGGGGTGGGTTGTAAAAGGCTTTAAAAGGCGTGTATATCGCGTAATGGGTTAAGTGTGACCTTGGGGGTAGAAACTTGGATGTACCTTGAGAGTAGCAACCTAGATGTTGCGCTCTGCAGATTGTGACATGGTGGGGATCATTTGTGCCAAGTAATTTTAAAACCTTTCAATTGTCAATAAGTTATAGAGCTGACATGATAAATAGATGTTTTATCATTGGACCTTTAAGTGTGACCCTGACTTTGAGGGTAGTGACTTGATTGTTGTGCTCAGCACATGGTGTCATAATGAAGATCATTTCTGCCAAGTTATCTTAAAAACATTGCAGCAGTTTATATGTTATTGAGCGGACACAAAATGTAGACTTTTTAACACTTTAAATGTGACTTTGACCTTTGGGGTAGCAACTCAATTATTGCGCTCTGCACAACATCTTATAATGGTGTTCACTTGAGCCAAGATATTTCAGCAGTTTTTAAGTTATGGAGCAGACACGAAATGTAGACTTTTTAACATCTGACCTTTATGTGTGACCCTGACCTTGGGGATAGCAACCCAATTATAGCACTCTGCACAATGTCTCATATTGGTGATAACTTGAGTAAAGTTACTTCAAAAAATTTTCAGCAGTTTAATAGTTATGCAGTGGACAAGAAATGTAGACTTTTAACACTTGACCTTTAAGTTTGACCTTGATATTGGGGGTAGCAATCCAATTACTGGGCTCTGCACAACATCTCATAATGGTTACCACTTGCGCCAAGTTATTTCAAAAGATTTTCAAAGTTTAAAAGTTATGGAGCAGACATGAAAGTAATACAGATGAACGGGTGGACGGACAGACGGAGGCCATTCCTATAATCCCCTCCCTACTTTGTGGAAGGGAATTAATAATGGTTTTCTAGAGAATAAAAGCATTTTAATTCTATTCATACACTTAACAATTAATAATTGCTTCACAGTTCACACTGAGGAAACAAATGTAACAAGATCACTGATTGGTCCAATAAAACAAGCATGCTTCAATATTTATGCAAATAAGTTTTGCGGAGAACGCATAATAATATTTAAAGGTAGTTTGTCTAATGGAATATGGTCTGATTTTTCTACAGTAAAAAACATTATTATAGGCAACAATATACAGCTGTCTGAAACTAAAGAAAAAAAATATTCATAGAAACATAGAAGTCAAAAGATTATAAACAGAAAAAAAAATTCTGCCCCTTATCTGCATAAATACAACAGGTTCGTCCAAACTATATGTAAGCCTATACTGAACAGGGAAATTTCTCCATTTTTCTTACATGTATATTCTCAAAAGCTTGGAAAATAATCTTTAAAAACTGACATTGCAATTTTTTCTTTATAATTCTGCTAAAATAACAAATAATCAAAGTTTGCAATTCTTTACAGGAAATACTTTACTCTTTTCTAGATTAAAACTAGGGAATAGCTTGAGTCAAGGTCAAATGCATCTATACAAAACATGAGACAGTATTTCACAAATCCCCCTCATGTACACCATTGATTTTTTTGTCTAAGTGAGCTGTATTATTTTGAGTGTTTTGAGTTTCTATCACCCCTTTGCTTTCAAGATAATCTTTCTCACAAAAAACTCTCCTTCCCTTTCCCTAAAAAACCCAACTATAACACACACCATAAAACCTTTATTAAAGTGTAATTCATGGTTTTATTCTTAAAACTGTGACCTTGACCTTAAAGAGGTGTATTTGCTTTATGGATTCTGAGTGTCCTGTCATAATGATACACGTGACCAAAGTTATCATGACTATTCCTTTAAAAATTCAATGATATAGGGCAGACAGAAACTGTATTATCCTAAATAGTGCAGTCAAGTGACCCAACTATTCTTCTTCGGCCTAAAGTAACAAATGATCAGTTGAACAGGTAAGTGACTAGAAAACAAGAAACATTACATAATATGGGTGTTTAATGAAAGTTATCTTGCACCTCCAACATTTCCAACATGAAAGATATTCAATGACTTCTCTATAACTATCTCTGACAAAATGAGACCATTAAAATAGAAGCATTTCAAAAATGCTACTTTAAAATCAATTCACAATACAAATGTACTAGATACCCCACAAAAAAGGAAAAAAATGGAAAAAAATAGTCCCTCAAAAAAGTCAACAATAAATCAAAAGAAGAACAACATTGAAAATAGAAAAAAAAAATCACATTAAAATAAAAACCAGAAACTAGAAACTTTCAGAACACGGAACTCAAAAGCCAACAACTAAATTACTATTGACCCTTTCTCACTAACTTTATAAAGTGGACTTGCCCTTAACTATAGGGGTTTAATTGAAGACGATAAGAAAACCCGCTGATATTTAGCAGAAGTACAAGTTTTTTTCAGACTGGCCTAGCTCTATACTGGTGGCATCAAACAATCATTATCAATACTAGCCTAAATATTTATAACCCTATCTTTTAAATGTTCCATTTTTCTCCCAACAGTCTATTTTTAAATCAAATTTATAAAACCGGGCGCAGAAATTCTCCATGTTCAGTATAAGATTAAAGGTTAAGAAATGAACAAAATACAGAACTTTTCTACGTGCCAACAGATTTTTCCAGGCCTCGGACAGTGGGTCCAACGGCTCATCCTACAAATATACAAATTAACAACTGACACATAACCCCTATCAACTTGTATTGTTATATTTGAGTGTTACGTTTATTTAATTTATATCTAGTTTATTCAAAACCTTAAATTTTCTAAACACTCCATTTACAAGTATTCTTTAATCATCTCATTTTCACACTTCAACTGTAATTTTTCTGTCTATACCAAATTTAATCACCTATCGAAAATAGAAAATAGCCTTCCATATAAGGTGGTACTTAAAATTACATTTTTTTTCCAAATGATAGCTTGGGTCTTAGGCTTAAAACAAGGCTTATGTAAGAAAACTATTTTTGTATGAAAAATTAAATCTTGAAAAAAATAGAACACCATTCTCTGTTTATTTATAAGACAGTAATAGTAATCAATAAAAAATTGTTCACCCCCTATAACTTATTCCGAAGCAAACAATCAAATGAGCCGCGTCATGACAAAACCAACATAATGGGTTTGCGACCAGCATAATGGGTTTGCGACCAGCATGGATCCAGACCAGCCTGCGCATCCGCGCAGGCTGGTCTGGATCCATGCTGGTCGCAAACCCATTATGTTGGTTTTGTCTTGACACGGCTCAAATGCAGTATGGTCAACTGACTAATTGTTGTAGTATTTTCTAGGAGATATCTAGACAACACAGATCTTATAACAGAAAAAAGAACAAGAATTTGTACCAAGAGTCATCAACATCCAATACCTAAGGTATGTTTAACATGAAGCACAAAATTGTGCTTTTCAAAAAATTGAAGTGTAGCTTTGGACTATCAGTGCAAATCTTGATCAATGCTAGACCTGTACATTCAACAATAAATTCATTAAAGTAATAGAATCATCAATGAAATAACTCCTGTGTATGTGTCAACAAAAATACACTTGTATAGTTGTTATGACTATTTCAAAACCACAAAATGTCACAAATACAAAATCAATACAAAGTATGGTTTGTTACAGCATATATTTTGTGTCCAGTCGTAACTTTTTTCATCGGTCAAGGTATGCGAGTGATTCATCAATGACATGTTAGGCTTAAACATCAAAGTGTGACCTTGACCTTGAGGTCTGGGTATAGAGCATGACACCTCATCTTATTATTGAGAACATTTGTGCTAAGTCATTTCAAAATACCTTCAATGATGAAAAAGTGATGGTTCAGACATGACATATACATTATAACAGACCATGTTAAGCTTTGACCTGCAAGTGTTACCTTGACCTTGGAGGTAGGCATCTTGGTGTTGTGTACAACACATTGTCTCATTATTGTGAACATTTGTGACAAATTTTTCCAAAATACCTTGATGGATGAGAAAGTTTTGGACTGGAGAAAAAACATATTCTTCATGTATATCAGACTATATTAAGCTTTGACCTCCCAAGTGTGACCTTGACTTAAGAGGTAGAGGTCCAGGTGTTGCACATGACACATCCTCTTATTATTGTGAACATTTGTGGTGAGTAATTTCAAAGTCCCTTGATCTATGAAAAAGTTATGGACAGGACACAAAATATACCCTATAACAGACCATGTTAAGCTTTGACCTCCAAGTGTGAACTTGACCTATGAGGTAGGGGTCCAGGTGTTGCACATGACACATTGTCTCATTATTGTGAACATTTGTTGTAAGTAATTTCAAAATCCCTTGATCTATGAAATAGTTATAGATAGGACACAAAATATACCCTATAACAGACCATGTTAAGCTTTCACCTCTGAGTGTGAACTTGACCTTAGAGGTAGGGGTCAAGGTGTTGCACATGACACATTGTCTTATTATTGTGAACATTTGTGATTAGTAATTTCAAAATCCCTTGACCTATGAAAAAGTTATGGACCAGACGCAAAATATACCCTATAACAGACCATGTTAAGCTTTGACCTCCAAGTGTGATCTTGACCTTAGAGGTAGGGGTCAAGGTGTTAAACATGACACATTGTCTTATCATTGTGAACATCTGTGGCAAGTAATTTCAAAATCCCTTGATTTCTTTTTAAAGTAATGGACCGGACCTAAATATACCTTATAACAGACCATGTAAAGCTTTGACCTCCAAGTGTGACCTTGACCTTGGAGGTAGGGTTTAGTTATGGACCGGACACAAAAGTGTGATGGACAGACAGCAGGTGCCCAATTCTATATTTTACATTTTTCCTTTAAAAGGTGGGGGACAATTATTCAACTATAAAACTGAGGTCTAATAATAATAATAAGATATAAAATATGAAATTGTCACTGCCCAAATATTTCATGACCAAGATTGATAAGTCACATGACAACATTTTGGCTTTCTTAAAGGGAAGTAAAGCCATTCAGTATAATTTCAGGTACAAGAAATAGACTTCAGCATAGTAACCTCGTGTTCAAGGCCTGCACTTTCCTACTTTACAGGAATTGATCCTGCATTGCTTAGTGACAAGAGGTCAGGGACTACTTAGGCTTACTCCAAGAGTTCAACTCTTACCCTGCTGGTACCCAGTAGCCTTTGCCACCAGTATAGAGCCAGGCCAGCCTGCACATCCATGCACTCTGACCAGGCTCTATATTATTGGCTGTCCAACTTCAATTTTTTTAGATTCTGATCTATACCCAAAACTTATAATGGAAAATTCCAAACAAAGGGAAGTTGGAAAAGCTTAATTAAGAAATTGCGGAGGTTAATCCCTAATGCCTACATGTACTATATGATGTCAGAAGTCCTATTCCTTACATTAAAATTATACAAATAATATTACAAAAAGATAAACTAGGAGTTAAATTTTAGTGTAGCAGAAGACATTTTACATTTACAACAGTTATAACACATCTAATCAGACCAAACACCATTAGACAGTGAAATTTAATATATCATACCATTATACATGTAATAAAACAGTAAAATACCAGTTATTCAAACGTGTGAAATTTGTTTATTTAATCTAAATAGGAAAATCACCTCTGTAAGTCTTTTATCAGAAAGCAAGATAGGAAAGTTTTACTAAAGAGTGGGATAGAAATAGCATGATTGGCTTAATATTGAAATAATTTCCTGAAAAGGGAACATTTACAAAAACACATACATGTATTGTATATAAATATTGCTGAAGAAAATAAAGTGACATTTTCTTATCAAACATTTAACCTTTTGTACAGAAACCCAGTTTGCAACAAAATAAATATTAAAATATAAAATTATCTATCACTCTATTGTAAGAAAATATATATTTTCATAATTACACTTCATAGATTTATATATTTTTGATCTAGAACATATGTCAGTTTTTAATTTAAGTACAGAAAAAAAATTCAGGCATAAATTATGTTTTTCAACATGCATAAAGGCAGTGATCAGGTGATCTAGATAAAAGCAAATTACAGAAATCTGTGTTTGATCACAACTATACATTTAAAGTACAACCCTTATCCGTTGTGTCAAAACAAAACTAAAACTTAACTTTCACACAACTGTAACTCACCCTGCCAATATCTTGTAGAAGGTCATGAACTCTTTGGGTTACTATGGAAATATCAAGGTCAGCTTGTTCATGATACACATTTTGAAGCTGAATATATCTCTCCGAGTCTGCAGTCATGTCAGGTATGGTGCCACGCAAGGGGAGAGCACCTAGGTTTTATAAAACAACACAATCACCATCAGGAGATACATGTACATTTATCAGTCCTCCTAATATCATACAATTTATATTGCATTATATTTGTTTATATAATTTGCCTTGAAGTGTATACAAAGCTTATGATATACATAGTCTTTCCTGTCTGTGGGTTATTAATTTATTGTTTATATCGTGAATGTGAAATGATTAGATACATAAAATGAAAGATATTTGTCAAAAGCAACTTGCCTCACATGAAATCATCGTTGAACCTACTATATTTGTTCACCGGAACATTTTATTCTGTTAACATACAATAGTCATGACTAGTAAATTACATAGACATTTCACATTACAAATTTGTCAATGAACGTTCATACGGATATGAAAACAACATAATTTTACTATTTTGAAACTTTTATACAATATTTCATCAGATATAGCTTTATTCACTTTAAAAAACCTGACAGCAAACTTCTCAGATAGTATAAATTAACTTATAAATAATCATGACAACATATGTTGTTTACTGTAAAGATTGAGTGCATGTTAACTTGACATAGGGTATATAACCGGTGATGTTTTATTATCCTTGACATGTCAGGTTGATAACCTCATACCATCTCGATCACTGCTGATAATATGATTAATAATAAATGAGCCACGTCATGACAAAACCAACATAATGGGTTTGAGACCAGCATAGATCCAGACCAGTCTGCACAGTCTGATCAGGATCCATGCTGTTCGCTTACAAACCCTATAGCAAGTAGAGAAACTGATAGCGAACAGCATGGATCCTGATCAGACTGCGGGGATGCGCAGGCTGGTCTGGATCCATGCTGGTCGCAAACCCATTATGTTGGTTTTCTCGTGAAGCGGCTCATGTCAGGTTGATAACCTCATGCCATCTTGATCACTGCTGATAATATGGTTAATAATAAATGTTTATAGAACAGTTCACAGTGACATTTACCATTTTATTATGAAATTTCTCCTTTTTTTCTTCCAGGACAGCTTTTGTGATTTTTTTTTTGGGGGGGGGGGGGGGGGGCGAAGGGGGGTGGAAGGAGGGAAACATGTAACGACTTCATACAAAGTAGATATGTTATGTTTTAAATTCTACACACTGTAGGTGGTCACAATATGAATATATAGTGTCATTAAAAAAGCTGGCAGTTTTTTTAAAGAAAATACCAACTTTACTTTATCTGTAATAGGGAATGTAGCTTCCAAAACATAGTTTTTTTCATTCTTTTTCTTCAAATTAGACATATTCAGTAAGAATTTCATTGATTTCAATACATTTCTGTGATAAAAATATTTTACTTAACCCATTGCTTCATGAGCATTTTGTGAAAAATGGCTGTTTTCATTGAAAAGTCTCCCGTTACAAGTTCAAATTGCTATAATACTATAAAAACTGCTTCAACACTAATCAAACTTGGCACAAATGTTGACTGGACCATTGTCCTTGCAACAACATGCTCAGGCTTAAATTTTCTGTTACCATGGCAACGAGGGGACATCTCAAAATTGCCAAAAATCACTATTTTGCGTTGATTTTTTCCATCAAAATTGATTTCAAAGTGCTGCAACTTCTCAATGGATTGAGATAGAGTCAAATGCTTTTCAGCGTTGGTTACACGTTACCTTATGATCAATCTGGGGTCATTTACAGCCTCTCACAAGTCCAAAATTTTCTTGGCGATGAGGGGGACTCCGCCCCCCTTCAAACCCCCCCAAACAGAAGGGGGCACATCCCCTTTCTGGCAACCCCCTGATGTATCTTTTGGTTGGGGGGCCGCGCCGAAAAAAGGGTCACTTTTTTAACAACATTTCTCAAACAAAAACAAGTGTTTGGGGCCTAAATAAGGCATTTTTTCATCATTTGAGAGAACAAAAAGGGGGGGGGTGAAAAAGGCGTTAAAAGGCGTGTATATGAAGTAATGGGTTAAGAATGATCATAGTACATCTTTAAGTGAAACCTATGCTACTGTGATCATTAAGTGATCTTCCAACTTGTATATTAACATAAAACCACAGAAGACACTCCATGAAATACATGTATTTAAACAATGAACACCTGAGTAACCAATGATCATTAAATTAAAAAAATTAAAACTTAAGTAAAACAGCTTTCTTAGATATAATACATCAATGGCTCTTGTTGGAATTGATTCAAGTCTGTAATCAACTTAAGAGATGATGGTATTGTGAACAAAAATCTTACCATTCCCTTCACTATCTGCAAACTCTTTGATAGCTCTGACTAGAATCCAAAAATTAGAACTCTAAAATCAAAAGAAAGGAAAATGTAAATATATACAGAATGTTTGACATAATTTACAATCTGTACTATATATACAAAATAGTCTTTTGTAATTTTATAATTTTGATACTTTTTGTAGTTTTCCAAACTGTACATCATACTTTTTTATGTATTCATTGTAACTTGGCAATGAACATGTACAGTCTAACTTGCCCATGCGACCACGTGTATTAAGCGACTTTTGTCTTAAACGACCACTTTAAATCCCTCCCGATCATTTTCTCCCTATATCTTTAATGTATTAAGCGACTTTTGCTCAACGCTACCAGCAACCGCTAATTAGTCACATAATTGATATCAGTCTTTTCATTAAACGACCACTTTTACCTGTCAAGTAATTGTGTTTTTAGAGAACGCCGCATCGTAATGTCAGAAGTGTCAACAATCAAAACACAACAAATAAATGTTTGAAAAACTCTATTTCCCAAACCGTTTTAGCGTAGGTGCAAAAGAAGTTATGTATACTCGTGACGGGTATTATCCAATAAAATCAGATAAACAATGCAACACTCCGTCCCTACTTAGATGGTGTATACGCTTCGCTTGTTGACATTTAGACTGCATTGTATTGACATTGAACTTGATCAGCAATTAAATTAATCGTAACAATTAGATGTAGTTTGTTTATTTCAAATGAAAAAATGCACAACAAAAAACATTTTCACTAATAGGGTTTTCGAGTTGGAGACAAGGAAAAACAACGGAAAAGTTAAAAAAATTCTGGAAAAATGTCAAACATGTACCAATTGGATCAAAATATATATAAATGAAGTTGAAAACAACATTCCCACCGCAATAGAAAGATGTCATTTATAAAATTTGCCTTTTATATCATGCTTTGTCTTAAGCGACCGTTTCATTAAGCGACCATTTTGGGTGTTTCCCTTGCACGGTCGCTTAATACAAGTTTGACTGTATTTGTTTTTTTGCCAATAAAACCTTTGTAAAACAAGAGGGCCATGATGGCCCTGAGGTCGCTCACCTGTATATAGGCCCCCCCCCCCCCCCCCCCCCCAACGTTGCAGGGCCAATTTAACCCAAGGGCTTTTATTTGCACAAACTTGGTAGACACCCATAAGAAGATGTTTCATGCTAAACATCTAAGCTCTAGCTCATTGGGCTTTTTAAAAGAAGATTTTTTTAAAGTTTTTACTGTACACATATAGTTAAAAACAATGACACCCCTGGGGCTGGGCCAGTTTTGACCCCAGGGCTTTTATTTGAACAAACTTTGTAGACACTTACTAGAAGATGTTTCATGCTTAATATCTAAACTCTAGCTATTTGGGTTTTTTCAAAGAAGATTTTAAGTTTTTGCTATACACATATAATGAAAATCAATGAACCCCGGGGCGGGGCCAATTTTGACCCCAGGTCTTTTATTTGAACAAACTTTGTAGACACTCACTTAAAGATGTTTCATGCTATCTAAACTCTAGCTATTTGGGTTTTTTCAAAGAAGATTTTAAGTTTTTGCTATACACATATAATGAAAATCAATGACCCCCGGGGCGGTGCCAATTTTGACCCCAGGGCTTTTATTTGAACAAACTTGGTAGACACCTATTAGAACATGTTTGATGCTAAATATCTTAGCCATGGCTCTTTGAGTTCTTTAAAAGAAGATTTTTTAAGTTTTTACTATATGCATATAGGGAAAATCAATGACCCCCCGGGGCGGGGCCAATTTTGACCCCAGGGCTTTTATTTGAACAAACTTGATAGACACTCACTAGAAGATGTTTCATGCCAAATATCTAAGCTCTAGCTCTTATGGTTTTTTAAAAGAAGATATTTAAAGTTTTTTCTTTCGGTTGCCATGGCAACCAGAGTTCTGCATGGAATTAAATTCTTTGAACAATTTTTAAAGGTGACCACCAAAGGAACATTCCTGTGAAGTTTGGATGAAATTGGCTTAGTGGTTTATGAGGAGATGTCATTTAAAGTAAAAGTTTACGGACGGACGACGGACGGACGACGGACGGACGCCGGACGAAAAGCGATCACAAAAGCTCACCCTGTCACTTTGTGACAGGTGAGCTAAAAAAAAATATTTGTAATAAAACACAGTTCTTAAACAAATCAGGTCTAAGTTTTCTTGTTTTGAAGTATGAGGTGATCATTTCTTCTCACACATACATACAAAAATAGACTTCTTAGTTTTGAGGCGGCCCAGCATTAGAGACACTCATCTAACCTAGAGCTTCCCATCATGTTAACCCTAAGTCTAAATGCCTAATTATGTCTATCCAAACAACCCAAATTTTTACAATATCCCCACTGCATCCTTAAGATAAATGATTACACTAATTTTTTTCATGAGCAATAGATACTTCCTGATTTTTATAATAATTACGTCATGTGCCAAAAGTGGCAGCCATTTTAGGGGTCAATACTTTTTTCAGTTTTCATGAAAACGATTTAGGAGAGGTTTTTGTCTTATGCAAATGACCATAAAAATGGTGGCCAGGGGATGTAATAATTGTTATGTGAAAATCATCAATTGATAACCTAAACATACCAGTATACAGTCTTAGAGATATTGCAAATCATGAGATTTAAAACAGCCTTCACATCAATATTTATCTTTACATTCAACAGTGTAATGATTGTTATTTGCCACAAACAAGTCAATGCCTGGTACAAAATGATACATATTAAAATGTGAATGCCCTTAAACTGGCATGAACAGATGGTGATTAATCAACATTCTGCCATTCTTAATACACATACATACCTCCGAGTGTAGATTTAAACATTCTGGATCACTAAATAATCTCGCAACTTCAGAAGGAATCTGAAATGTTTAAATTACAAATAAAACACCTTTATACAGAGGTACAGAAGAAATCAAAATATATTCAAAGCAGTTTTTGTTAAAAAATTTTTCTTAACATTTTTTCATTAACAATTATTGGTCAATCACCATTATTACAGTCAATCAGTTTAACCCTATACAATTCAGCTCAACTTGATAGCGCAAGAATAAGAATAATGTCACTTTAAGACTCACTTTTGTTGGATTAAGGGCAGTGTTGACAGCTTTTATTGCTTCCTCAAAGTTTTCTTCATCTTCCTGTACACCTTCATCTGATTTTCTTATACCTGAAATATCAACACTTACAGATAATAAATCTATTTTTAATTTGTTTTTCTTATACCTGAAATATCAACAATTCCAGTGAATAAATCTATCTTCCTGTACAGATTCATCTGTTTTTTTTTATACCTGAAATATCAACCCTTCCAGTGAATAAATCTATCTTCCTGTACAGATTCATCTGTTTTTCTTATACCTGAAATATCAACCCTTCCAGTGAATAAATCTATCTTCCTGTACAGATTCATCTGTTTTTCTTATACCTGAAATATCAACACTTTCAGTGAATAAATCTATCTTCCTGTACAGATTCATCTGTTTTTCTTATACCTGAAATATCAACACTTTCAGTTGATAAATCTTTATTTTTGTTCTTGTGAAAGAAAACTTTCCTCTGTGTATAACATAAGATACAAGAAGTCACCCACATAGAACGGATGATCTCAAAGAGCTTACTATATCACACTGTATATTCAATACCATTGTGTGGTATATAGTGATAATGGTATATATGTGACATTGTGTAGCATATTTTTATCACTCGTTACTCACCTCATTGTGTAATGTTTGAAAATGGAATTTGATTTTCATTTTTTTGTTGGGTTTTATGTTGCACCAACACAGTATAGGTCATATGGCGACTTTCCAACTTTACTGGTGGAGGAAGACCTCTGGTGCCCTTTCGTACATTATTTCAGGCACAAATGGGCACCTTAGTAGAACCATTGATGTTCCGTAAGCTAGGACTTTTATTTGACTCACCTTTTATAACTTCTAAGAGAAATTTGTGAATGGGAACATGGTTATAACACTGATCATTTCACATTATGCATAGTTTACTGGAGACATTTCTATTATCACGTCAATATTAACACAGTATTTTACCTTCTCTGATCATGTCTTTTAACTGAACCTTTTCACGATACACTTTAGGACCTTCTCCATTATGCTGAAATAAAATAAGATAAATTTAGAAGTCACAATGACTGTGGAGAATAATTGAGTATGTAACAATCAATCTATCTTTCAATTAGAGATACCCTTGCAAGGGGCATAAACTTCTAAGAAGGAGTCAGCAACATAAACTCTTGGTTATGGAGACTACAAAAAACATACCATGAGTTTTATGTAGAGAAACTGCTTAAAAATTAAGAAAGAAATTGTCAAGTCAAAACATATTTGTTAAATTTTGTTGAACATAACATGCTATCTGGTAACTTGCTTTTAACACCACAGTCAATGAGCCCGCTTAACCAAACTGAGCCTGCAACATTTTCAATTTTTACCCCTTTAGATTACCTTCAGGGTTTTTTGTTGGATGGAGGAAATAAAAATAAATGTACCTTTTCTTTCCATTCCTGGAGGTATTTGTATAGAACTATCAACCAAGGTGTATGAGAATGGTCCTGAAATCATTGTAAAATATATCTCTTAGTAATGTCAGAGTTTACTGTATGGCTGCTTGTTTGTTTGTTTGGGTTTTACATCACACCGACACAGTTAGATATTCCAGCTTTACTGGTGAAGGAATACCTCGGGTGCCCTTCCGTGCATTATTTCAGGCACAAACGGGCACCCAAGTAGGACCACCGACATTCCGTAAGCTAGCTGGATAGGTATGACTGCTTGTAACTGTGGTACAATACTGTTAGTTTGTATATTATCTATTTAAGCTCAATTATGAGAAAAGATTGTACCTTATTTTAATCACTCTTGGGTCTGTTTTTTACAAACCAATAGTGAATGAACTGTATTTTTTTCCAGTTTGGTTTACTATGAAATAAATATGTAAATGGTAGTCTATTAAGCAATCAAAGTTAAATTTATTGGGTGATGAGAACAATTAAAGTTATAATAATAAAAATAAGTTATAAGTGATAACAACAAGAGGGCCATGATGGCCCTGAAATCGCTCACCTGTATATAGGCCCCTGGGCCAACGCCAATTTTAAAACAGGGGCTTTTACTTAAACAAACTTGGTAGACAACCATTAGAGGATGTTTCATGATAAATATCTAAGCTCTACCTTTTTGGAGTTTTTATAAGAAGATTTTTTAAGTTTTTACTATATACATTTACTATATACATATAGGGAAAAACAATGACCCCACCCCCAATTTTGACCCCAGGGCATTTATTTGAACAAACTTGGTAGACACTAACTAGATGATGTTTTATTCCAAATAATTAAGCTCTAGCTCTTACGATTTTCTAAAAGAAGATATTTTAAGTTTTTTCTTTTGGTTGCCATGGCAACCAGAGTTCTGCTTGGAATGAAATTCTTTGAACAATTTTTTAAGTTGACTACCAAAGGAAAATTCCTCTGAAGTTTGGATGAAATTGGCTTAGCAGTTTATGAGGAGATGTCGTTTAAAGTAAATGTTTACAGACAGACGGACGCCAGAAGAAAAAGGATCACAAAAGCTCACCATGTCACTTTGTGACAGGTGAGCTAATAAACTCATAAGGGAATGAGCAGCTACTATCAAAGATATAGGAAATCTATCCATTAAGAACTACCCCAAAAAGCTTATCTGCAGCATAGCTTTTTCATTACTATATGACATTTTTTCCAAATTATGACAACCAAGACATAAAATAAATCCACCAATCCAATTAATTCTTAAAAACAAAAAAAATAATTTATGACATTACCTTTTTACTCATTGATGAGAGATCTATTGAGTCTATAAACTTTACAAGCCCATCAAATGGTCGGTCTAACCTCAGATCTTCATGTGCATTATCTGGATGTGACTCAACAACTGAAAAAATATCAAATACTTCCAAAATAAATTCATACATTTTGTCATTTGTATTCTTAAATAATTCTTTTTCAAACAACCCAGCCCAAAAAAGGGCATAATTCCTAAATATTGCTTTGAGAATTATGCCTTTTGTCTCACAACTGCAAGTAACTAAGTTTTGTGTTGATACCTTTAAAATTGTTTGAGAAATAAGCTTCAATTAGAGTTATTGCATGACAAGAACGGTAACACAGAGATCATAATGTAGCCCAACTTTTTCTTGAAAATAGACAAAGCACTGGTATCATGGCCATTTATAGCAAAAGTTCAACAGCTATTCAACTAAACTAAGTGCAACATCTAATGGTATGTTTAATATTCAATTTTTTATTTTTATAAAGTTTTGTATTTTGCACCTTGATTACCCAAGCAGAATCATTTGCAGAAAAAGTTAAGCACTGCAGCAAAGACATGCAAAATTCATAAATAAATCGAACACAGAGAAACAGCAATGCAAAATCATTTGCAGAAAGTGTGACAAACATTTGTAGGGAACAGCAAAACATTAAAGAGAAGTCATGCCAAATCATTTGCAAAACTAAGAAGACTAATCAGAAAGAGTATGACTAGAAGCAAAAAAGTTTTTACTGACTCCTACAACAACTGGGCAACATTAAAGCTACTATCTTACACTGACTAAAAGAACAAATAGATAACAAGACTGGTATCTTACACTAGCTGCCGGTACAAATAGGAAACAAGGCATGTATCTTTGACTGGCTGTCAGAACTAATGGTTAACATAGTTAATATCATACAATAGCTGCCAGAACTTGTCAGAACAAATGAGTTATGGGGCTAGTATCTTTCACTGGCTGTCAGAACACATGGGTACCAAGGCTAGAATTATTCACAAACTGCCAGAATAAATGGGTCACATGCCTAGTATCTTATACTGACTGCAAGAACAAATGAATGACAAGGCTAGTAACTTACACTGACTGCCAGAACAAATAGATAACTAGGCTAGTACCTTACATTGACTGCCAGAACAAATGGGTATCAAGCCTATTATATCTCAAACTGACTGCCAAACAAATGGGTATCAAGCCTATTATATCTCAAACTGACTGCCAGAACAAATGGATAACTAGGCTAGTATCTTACACTGGTTGCAAGGACAGATTACGATATCCAGCTCAAAGATGAACCATATAATGCCATAACAATGTTCCAGCACAACAGTCAGGCAAACAAGAGATATACCCATCTATTGTTGCATATCACATTTTGATATAAGCTCAAAAATAAATAACACAAACTGAACTTTTTATGTAACACACTGCAGAAGCATAATAAATATACAGTCATACATAACAGCAGCAAAATAAAATTATTCAAAGCAAGTGACTAATCTTTTACCTATTGGGATTAAGGTGACATTTATAGCATCAGTGTAAATCTAGTCTAATATGCAAGTACATTTGAATTAAATCATGTTATACTGTAAATCACTTTATATATGCGTGATCTTTATTTCGCAAAAACCCCATTCCCAGATTATTTCACAGTCATAAATTCAGGACGGCGGGATCAAAAATCTAAATTCAGGATATTTTGTATCTTATTTCCAAAATATAACAGGGTACAATGTCTCAATTACATAAATTTCCACTGTGCCAAACTTATTCATGGTAAATATACATTTAAATATTGTCCCATTAAGGTGTTGTTTCATATACCAACATAACTGTTTAATTTTAAGTTTTTTTTATTAAATCCTTTGTCATATTTGGTTATTGATTGTTAATAGAGTATTTAATAAAATGTTAAAATGTTTGTAAAAAGGCGGTATATAATTGTTTATAATTCTTGAACTACCAGAACAGTACAAAAATTGTCTGCTGATCACAGTTTTACCGTTACTCTGTTGTTATCAAAACAATATGTGTTCACAATTGTCTGTAAAGTGCATAATTTGTTGATATTGTCGGAAAATAATGTTAGCTTTTTGTGTTGGACATAATTATTCATGAGTGAAGAAAGGAATTTGAAAACTTTGTTAGAAAACCTTCATACCTTTATAATTACATAAATAAAACATTGCACACATTAACTATTTTGAAATTCATTATCAAACTTGATCCCAATTTGGACAAATTTGATATTGGATATAATTTTTGTATAATGTAAGATATGTTATAAAATTTATGCAGAATCATGATTCAACCAATTCACAAACAAGAGCAATAATTAAAACATTGCGAATAATACGGAATTTACAATAATCATAATTACTTTTTTTCTTCTTCTTAATTTCAACTATACAAGAAGGTAGCTAGCTATAGATAAAGTATACTACTTAAACTTTGCTAAACACCAAGAGTATTTTTGTACCTATCTTATGTTGTATGTCAAATATTAGATTTATTTCTGTTCTTATATATATAATAGTGATTTATAAACATCATTAGAGAATTTGTTTCCAATTGTAATGTGTTTCATGTTCATTTGTTTTAATTGTAATGAAATTGTGTTTTAGACGGATATGGTGGAATTAGTGAAAAACTCATTTTTGTCCCAAAAAAAATTAAAAGGTACACATAACTGACTTTGCTTTAACAGCGAGTATGTGACCCAGTGTTGCCAATGACAGCTTGGCACCGTTGTTGCATACTCCCTATCAGGTTTCTTAGGATGGCTTGTGGGATGGTATTCCACTTGTCGACAAGGGCAGCACCAAGCTCCTGGGTGCTTTATCAACAGGCTGGACCTGACTGGCTAAAATACTGACCTGTAGCTCATTCCATACATGCTCAATGGGACCAAGATCCGGGGATCGAGCCAGCTAGTCCAAACGAGTAATACCCTGTCTTTCCATGTATTCTGGGACGACATTGGCTGTATGGGGGCGGGTCTTATCATCCATCAAAATGAACCCATTATCAATTGCACCAGCATACAACCTTACACTCATCCCGATACCGCTGGGCAGTCAATGAGCCTCTATCGAGGACAATGAGGTCAGTGCGTCCGTCCCAGCTGATTCCACCCCAGACCATTATTGATCTGCCAACATAGCAGTCTTGTTTTGCAATGTTTGCTAATGGAACCATTCCCCTGACCTTCGCCATACTCTAGCACACCTATCTGTTTATTCCAGGCAGTACCTTGATTCGCTGGTGAAGAAGACAGGCCGTCAGTCCATCCTACTCCAACCCACATGATTCATGGACGAATAATAACAGAGCCAGCAGTGGTCTATAGACAGCGGGATCCGTATACATGGTCTTCTTGATCGCAGACCACTTTCATGCAAATGTGTATGTATGGTTAATGTTGACACATGCACCCCTCAAGGTCAAAACAAATGTTGGGTTGCAGTTGCAAAACAGTTTTTTTGTGCCTGGATGACCAGAAAACGATCCTCAGACTCAGTAGTCACCCTTCTTCTGCCATCACCATGTCATCTTACAGGTCTACCATGCTGTTAGAACCTCGCCCAGGTTTGGGTGATAACCGTATGGTCAACACCAACCTCACAATGTCGAGCCCCCTGCTCCACCATACCAACTGCACGCCACAACTCTGCTTCTGATAAATGCCTTCTAACATTAGTATTCGACATTATTCAATCTGCCTTCTAACATTTGCATTCACCATTATTCAATCTTAAATGTTCAATATTTCAATGGAAAATGAAGAATGAACATCCTACACGTGTTGGTATGTGTATGCTGTGTCTTATAAAGACTATCAAAATACAGGGTCACCTTGTTTGCACTACTTGCACATGGAAATGTCCTGTCATTCAAGGTTATGTGTACACAGGGTACACTGTCGATACATTACTACACGCATTACAATGTAAATATCATAACATTATATGATGTAGAATGCACGATGCTAAGTGGAAAAATTAGTGCTTAGCAAACTTTGACATCATGTGAGTTTGTTCTACAAATGGTTCAAAACTTAACAGCTATAACAAAGTTGTCTTGGGAAGTCACAATATCCAAGGTGATATTTTTATGGTCAGACATACACGATAAAACATTTCTTTATGAAGTAAAGAGAAAAAAAGAGAGAGATTTTTCAATGAGTAATACATGAGCCATCTGGTGTCTATTGTAACCATTATAAAACGTACATGTAGCAACACTATCTCTTTTTATAATGAAATAGGATATTATTGTAAAGTCAAACCTGTATTACTGACCATCTCTGAATCAAAAACCTTTGATACTAGATAAGCCTGCAATCATTTCCTATTTAAAAAAAAACAACACATAATTTTACTTTTGAAAAACAACTGTGGCGTTCAATTAAAAACCTGAACACACCCCAGCCTTTCCATTAATAATCATACCACTTTAATTGCTTTGCAAAAGGGGCTGCAATCTCTTGTTTATTATTTCAAACACAACAACTTGGGCAATGATCTTGTTATCAACGCCTGCTGTCAAGGAATTCTTGAACACAACTATATTGACAAAGACATTGATGTTATTTGGACAAAAAATATATCTTTCTTACTAAAAAAGCATGTCCAATGACCAGAAAAGCACATTCAAATTACATCTACACTTATAGGGTCATATGGGAGACTTTCTATCTTAACAAGGCAGGAAACATTCAATGCCCATTTTACATGCATTTTTCATGTACATGAGGACATAGTGGTAAAATTACAAACCAAAACATGTGCAAACTAACATGGTATCATCCTTTTAACTGTTAAAGCTTCACATCTTTACACTGTTCATATCTTTAAATTGTTGATGAAAGTTAGGAAGTAAATGTTGAAATGCCAGACATAAAGAAAGGCCTCTTACATGCAAAGAAAAAGTAAAAACAATCTGTTAGTATAAATCGAGGCTTCATACAAAGTCAACCGATACCGTAAGAATCCTGTTGAATGGAGACAACTCCAACAAGACTGTTGTTAGAGGATAGAAAAGAACCTGTTCCTGGAACATAAAGTTTTAAGCTAGAACAAACAGAGACACAGAGAAGTTCTATATATGAGCCACATCACGACAAAACCAACATAGTGCGTTTGCAACCAGCATGGATCCAGACCAGCCTGCGCATCCGTGCAGTCTGATCAGGATCCATGCTGGTCGCATACTCACTATGTTGGTTTTGTCCTGACGCGGCTCATATAATACTAGTATATTGAGATTGGGTTTAAAGCTGCATGCCTCCAGATAAGTGAAAATAGTTCAATAAAATCTTGAGAAAAACGTACTAAGATTTTAGGAAAAGTAAAATTATTCAAGATTCAAGTAATAATTTACATTAATGAATGATTTTTTCAGTATCTATAACTCTTTCTCTTTAATTTCTACTGCGTTACTAACACAGTAAGGGCTATTTTTGCATGTGTTTTCCTCATTTTAGTAATTTACATGATTGTGGATAATGTGTAAATTGCTTCCTTTTGGTTATTTCACTAAATAATACCTTTAAATATATATTTAAAATTTTCATGAAAATTAGCATAAATGTTGAGGCGTGCTGCTTTAAAAATGCAACTTCACAACAGAGGTGGCATGGCAACTTTCAAACTTCATTGAACATTGACCAGCTGAATTTGTGACTGGTGTAGCCTAAGATAGGTGGGGCAAATATATATGATCTCAACATCTAGTCTATGACGTGTGTTAAAGGAAAGACTTGAAAAAATTCTTAATACACAATATATAAATGAGCCGCGTCATGACAAAACCAACGTAATGCGTCTGTGACCAGCATGGACCCAGACCAGCCTGCGCATCCTCGCAGTCTGATCAGGGCTTACAAACCCTCTTACAAGTAGAGAAACTGATAGCGAACAGCATGGATCCTGATCAGACTGCGCGGATGCGCAGGCTGGTCTGGATCCATGCTGGTCGCAAACGCATTACATTGGTTTTGTCATGACTCGGCTCAAATATATCATTTCAGTGAACAAAGTTTCAATTGGCATCATATAGAGTAATCTCCAAATTGCTCATATTATCAACGTAACACATCAACACTTTCAGCCTAACATGATTAAAAGTTATGTCACAGCCACTTTAAATAATAAGCACGCCCAAAGCAGAGGTACACATGCTAGAAACATGTAAATATTTTACTTTACACCATAATTATGTAGTGATATAAATGCCTAACTTTAGACCAATATTATTGACAAGCTGAGCACAACAATTTTAAAGAAAATATTTGTAGGTGTAAGCACACACAAAGCAATGCTGTACATGTCTGATTACATTCATGAAGGAAAATCATTAGTGTAATAAAACACTCAAATTTCAAATGTTAATTAGGTCTCATGAAGGTAATATATTTAAATAATAGTAAAGGCAGTGATAGAAATGCCTAACTTGGCAATAGAAACAAAGAAGGACAATGTCAATACCAAACCAACAAAACATAGCATTAAATGCCTAACTATGCACCATATTTAGTGGTGCAAATGCCTTAAGAAACCTTGTAATATAATAAATATAAAACAACGAATCCAAATGTCTACACTATCTTGCTTCCCTTTGAAACCAAGACAATTATCATTGTCACATCTACTTTCTGTAAGTACAAATTATTGTATCAACATACATGATACACTGATTGAAAAAGGTGCATGTAATCACAACAACCCATATATATCAAATTGTACAGTCTTGCAGTAAATAATACAGTGTTTCTACACTGTGATATTAATAATGAACAAAAATCAATTAAAAATACACCTTATTATTGCAAGCAAATGCCTAACTGCATGTATTTACTTCAAAGTACATCTATCATCAAAATGCCTAACTTTGTACATATATCCAGTAAGGACACATGTGACATATGGTAAGGATATGCTGTGATATATGGATAATGAGCTGATAATAATCAAATAAATACAGGAGACATTTCTCATTAAATTTTGTATAAATCATAACTAACAATCTTTCATATACTGGTAACAAATATCAAGTGTCAAGAAATGAAACAGATGTTAGGAAAAACTCATATATCTTATTTCTCCAGTCCTTCTGAAGAACAAACTGTTACATTTTCATATAAATTATCTACCTCAGTGTTATTTTTTATTATTATTCAAAATCATGGCAACAGTTAAAGTTATAAATTTTGCCATCAGAAATCTATGGATTTCACCAATATCTTGCAAATACAGAGATAACTTACTGAATGTATAGCAATTTTTTTTAAGTTATTTATTTATCCCCTCCCTTTTCCTATCAAGGTGAAACAATTGACATAAATTATCACAACACCAGGTTTTCTGGCAACTATAATTGATTGAAATTCCTTTTGAAAAATATGAAAGCCTAGGGGCTTCCATGGACTAGTCATTAAGGTTATTGACTTCAGACAACTTTCCCTTTCACTGCTGTGGGTTCGAATCTCATGAGGTACTTTGGATTCTTTCATATGAAAAAGCTATACAGCTTGCTTATATAATGCCCGTGGTTCTACTCAGGTGCCTGTTTGTGCCTGAAATAATGCATGTGAAGGCACCCTGAAGTCTTCATTTACCAGTTAAGCTAGAAAGTTGCCATATGACCTTTACAGTGTTGATGCGAGGTAACATTCAATAAAAAACAAAACAAAAGAAGATGGAAGCCTTATGCACAAAACTATCCCACTATTTCTTACAAAAGTTAAAACAACAACAAAGGGCCAAACTTTCCCTCAAAAAATTATTAAATCACGAAACCATAACATAATGCACAAGGACTCTTGGTGGCAATAGTTCTGTGAAAATTTGAGAAATGTAGAGTTGCAAGCAAAGTAGGAGTTGCACACAGAGGTAATTGTTTATGCTTGCCTGTCCAGTCATCCCATGCCTGCCTAGCCAATATTCACCAATTCACCAAGCAATATTAGTGATTAGAATCATATCAATATCATTTACTCAAAAAATAATTTTATTTTATCTTCAATTAATTGAACACCTACCGGTATATGATGCCAATCTTTTAAAATGTTCATTTTAACGGAATATCTTATGGATTTAGATAAATAACTTAGCCATATAGCACTATGAAATATTTTATAGCTTCAAAAAGAATAAAATTTAGAAAAGATGCCTGCCCATGTCCACATTTTCTCAAGGGTGGAGCTAATTTACACCCAATAAAATCACCAAACAAATATTTAAGCTTCTGATAATCTGTTGTTTTAATATAAATAATATTAAATCTTACTTCAGATATTTTTATTTGTCAGGTAAATTTAATCTTAGAAACCACAGGGAATGACTACCTAATAACTACTTGATTTTCATTTTTGAAGAGGACAAAATGAAAGTCGGAACTTAGTCGAAACGTGTTGTACTGATACCAATCCTTACTAAGTAACTTTCACAGAGACATGTTATTTCATATACCTAAACTCATAAATTTTGTAACATAGCTTCATTTTTTGTTATACCTCAACCATATGCTGATATTATGTACACATATGGTTCAATTACTTTGACATAAAACATATATCTTTCTGTATTGATCATAAAACATTTGTTATTTATGTATTTTCAGCAAAAAACATAATAATCAGGGTTTTAAAGTAATGTATTATTTCTGAATCTCTCTTAAAGCAGGGGTCAGACTGACATTAAAACAATATTTCATGAACCATCCGGGAAATAAGTCATTTAATAAAATCATACCCATAAATAATCACAAGATTATATTGAAAACCCTGTAAGTAACAGTCACAAGTTTTTTTTCTCAGGCAATTTAAACAACAAAAAATAATTCTATCCCTTTTAAATACATTTCTGAAATGTCCCGAATAGGAAATTTTAATATAAAGAATATATGAACTGCAACATTCAATATACTTTCAATTTCTCTCTAGATACAGATAAAGTCAAAGACAACTTCCATTGATGAAATACGAGGAAAAGAGGAAACAAAAACAACAATATATGAGCCGCGTCACGACAAAACCAACAAAGTGCGTTTGCGACCAACATGGATCCAGACCAGCCTGCGCAGCCGCGCAGTCTGATCAGGAAACATGCTGTTTGCTTATTAACCTATTACAAGTAGATAAACTGATAGGGAACAGCATGGATCCTAATCAAACTGAGACTGTGCGGATGCTCAGTCTGGTCTGGATCCATGCTGGTCGCAAACCCATTATGTTGGTTTTGTCATGACGCGGCTCATGTATATTTCACCATGATCATTAATAAAATGGATTCTGCATGACTTGTTATCTCATTATGGTAAAAATTTAAACTAAACTTTCCATGGGCTCAGATATAAAGCAGACCATTGACCTGGACTGTGACCTCAGCCCTAAAGAGTTATGCCAGAAAATGGGTTTTGCTTATCACTACATTAGTATAAGGAGTTATTCTCTGTTAATTAAAGGGATTCCAGTATCAACTTGCAGTGTGTCCATAGGACACGGTTGCCCCGACATTCCACTTTTTTGTCAAATAAAAAGATAATATATCAAGTGTTTGTCCTTGTATATTATCATTATATTTATTTCTATTTATGTTTTTTTGTTTGTTTAAGATTATGACTTATCATTTGAAATCCATGGTACAGATCGGATATTATAACATCATAAAAGAGTACAACTTTATCTCCTTATTATCTCCCTTTATGAACTTGTGTTCTCACCTCCATTATATCAAATCAGTAAATACCCTAACCCTGCTGTATTTCTTAAATGAGCTGGGTCATGATAAAACTAACATAATGGGTTTGCGACCAGCATGGATCCATGCTGTTCGCTTACAAACCCAATAACAAGTAGAGAAACTGATAGCGAACAGCATGTATCCTGATCAGATTGCGCGGATGAGCAGGCTGGTCTGGATCCATGCTGGTCGCAAACGCATAACATTGGTTTTGTCGTGACGCGGCTCAAATGGACTTGTTCAGCTTCCAATTTAGGAACTGTCTATTATCAAATTTTGGAGTATCAAGTTGAAAATTTGAAGATGCATGGTCAGTCAACAGTATGAAGCCAATGATTTTTCACCTTGTAAAACTGAGGCCTATAAAAAGGCCTCTTCCCAAGAATGTAATCTGGAACTCGAGAAATGTGGGTTTTTCTGAGCTAATCCCCAAGTATAAACAAACTTTTACTGTTATATAACTAGGGTGCACTACCTGTTACAATAGATTAGTCAACCTGTTGAACTTTTTTTCGAAACTGTAACTATAACGAGAGCCGTTGGTAGGACAGCAACGCTCGACTATTCTTAGTGCTTGATAGTAAAAAAAAATGCTTGATACAGTTACCTCCTCCTGTTTACAGGTTGGGGTCATGATGGTGAACAAGTGTGCAAAGTTTCAAAGCCATATGTCAATGGACTTTGAAAATATTTGAATTATTACAAAAACTTTAACGTAAATTCTAAGTCGAAAAAGGGGCATAATTCTGTCAAAATGCTTGATAGAGTTACCTCCTCCTGTCTACAGGTTGGGGTCATGATGGTGAACAAGTGTGCAAAGTTTCAAAGCCATATGTCAATGGACTTTGAAAATATTTGAACTATTACAAAAACTTTAACGTAAATTCTAAGTCGAAAAAGGGGCATAATTCTGTCAAAATGCTTGATAGAGTTACCTCCTCCTGTCTACAGGTTGGGGTCATGATGGTGAACAAGTGTGCAAAGTTTCAAAGCCATATGTCAATGGACTTTGAAAATATTCGAGGTATTACAAAAATTTTAACGTAAATTCTAAGTTGAAAAAGGGTCATAATTCTGTCAAAATGCTTGACAGAGTTACCTCCTCCTGTCTACAGGTTGGGGTCATGATGGTGAACAAGTGTGCAAAGTTTCAAAGCCATATGTCAATGGACTTTGAAAATATTTGAACTATTACAAAAACTTTAACATAAGTGGTTATGCCGACGCCGACGCTCGGGTGACTGCAATAGCTCTACTTATTCTTATCGAATAGTCGAGCTAAAAATTTGTTTGTACTCCAAGATTAGCTGGGAAAAACCCAAAATGTTTAGTAATCCCAGAGTTAGATTATTGTATTTTTCTTTGAAATCATGAATTTAAATCAGCTTTTTTTTCTTCCAAAATTGGAAATCTAAGTGATGTTTACTAAAATCAAGAGGCTAAGGTCTCTTTCCAATTAATTGAGAGCCTTTTTAAACTGCATGGCTGTTCAGGCTGGCCTGACCTTATACTGGCGTTCACTTTAATGTCCAGCAGTGTCATGGCTTAAAATCAGCTCTATTTTAGAAAATTTGTCCTTTGTTTACAGCAAAATAAACAAAATGTATAAATTGTTTATTTGTTGGTTATAAACTGCTTTCACATCAGAGTATTTTAGTTAAATTGTTTATTTGTTGGTTATTAACTGCTTTCACATCAGAGTATTTTAGTTCTTTTTTCAGCTAAAATCTAACAAAACTTTGCTCATTAAGTTAAACACACATGGAAAATTGAGAACAGAACAGGTATGAAAACTATAGCAACAAAACATAGAGACCATCATACAGTATGATACTGTCACAGAAATTGATAAAGCCATGGTTAGTGTATGAGCTGATATTACACAAGACTCTGTATACTATCAAAGTGAAGGAAGTGAAATAAAATACTGACCAACAATTGCTATAACAAAAACAAACATGTCCCATTTAGCATAGAAAATTATATGTACCCAATGGTCGGCCAACACTTGACTAAAGATAGGACTACTATGATAGGTTTATATTTTCTTAATACATGAATTTTTTTTTTCAACATGTATGCTACTAGAATTTCAATAAACAGTTCTTGTTGTAGACATTTCACTTTGCAGATGAGATGCTTAAAATAGGAAGAATTCTGGCCGATGCATCTGTGTGAACTTTAACTTTGAACTGGGCCACATTTGACCGCAAGTTTGCTTCATTTGCAGTTTAACATCAACAAACAAACACTGTGAGGTTTACAGGTTTACATTTACTGCTTTTATTTGAGGAGATATTGGCAGGCATCTGTAGAGAACAACAGCCTATCCACAAGCTTGTTTGTTTATATTCCTGGAGGGTTATTAACTTGCATAGGTGACAGACAAAAGTTTTAAAGAAAAGAAATAACAATTTCTTCACTAAATTGTTAGTAATTTCCTCAAAATGACTCACAAAGTTCAAGACAGACTGTTAAAAACAAGCAAAAAGGAACAGCCGATCAAATCTAGCTAAGCTTCGATAAAAAGTTTTACTTCAAAGCTAATACCTGTATGTTCCTTCACGACAAGCCTCATATATCCTATAAAACCATAGCAACGACACACAAGTAGTGGTATATTCTTCTCCCATAGACATTTTCCAAGTTTTAATAAAGTCCTGAAAAATTAAAAAATATATATATTTATTTTTTTTTGTTGCACCAACACAGTTTAGGACATTAACGACTTTCTAGCTTTACTGATGGAGGAAGTCCTCAGATGCCCTTCTGTATATTATTTCAAGCATAAATGGGCTGCTGAGTAGAACCACTGATGTTCCTGAAGCCAGTTTGATAGCCTCCTCATTTAAAAGAAACCAAAAACACTGTTGGGATTCGAACCCAGTGGTGAGGGGTAAGTAATATAAAGTCTCAAAAATAAGCATTCAGCCACAGACAAACATTAGCTTGTAATATTAATTTAATCATATTTTATTGCTATATACATGTATATACAATACAGATACAAATTTCAAATGTATTCTAAACAGCAAAAGCAAACGGGTTGGTCCCAAGTTCTTACAACATTAGCGGTCGGCCCTCCCCGGTAGATAATGAAACGAAAAAACTATATTCAATACTATATAACATAAACATAGTGTATATCATGTATAATTGCTGATGGAATGAATCGTAAGAAACGATTTTTAACAATATACAATAAAATAATCGAACAGATAGAAATCAACGTTCGTGTATTTTATAAATTTATAAATATGGATGATCTAAGGATTCAGTATCACCTACCCCCCCACCCACCCCATAGTGTCACGGGTTTCGTTAAGGCTGTTATGTGCATTTACTTTATATTGGGTAAAATATAATATAATAATATATAATATAATGTAATATTAATCCTCAGAGTTCAAAACATATTTTGTCCTAAATGTAACCATTTTTTATGTAAATCTAGATGTTATGTAGGAATTATAAATTTTAATGTAGGAGTAGAAAAAGTTGACAAAACACATGTAAATATATGTAGAAGCTATGCATGGCTAAGAATTATTTCAAGACCTGTTTCACTTAGAATACAGCTGTTTTAAGATTAAGTCATTTGTTTATACTGTAAGTTTTTTCATTGTAGCCATGTCTAATTTCAAACAACAACATTGATATTAATATAATGTAAATACAATGTATAATTATGTTTAAGCAAAATCTAACAATTATAACAATATGTATTCAAATGTTGTATGATTTGAACTACAATGTTTTGCATAGAGAGGCAAATAATAAATGTTCAATCAATTATCCCTTTGTTGTTTGTTTAATATTGCTTGCTAAAGTACATAAATTATATATATCTAAATAACATGGCCAGTAATGACATGTATCATCTTTATAATATGAGAAAGCAAGTTGGTTTTATGCTGTAGGCATGGCTGGTCTGGTTTCATACGTTAGAATGGAGGGCCTGGTTTTATACATTAGAATTGCTGGCCTGGGTTTTAAACCATAGGCATGGATGGTCTAGTTTTATACTGTAGGCATGGCTAGTTTGGTTTCATAATTTAGGACATCTGGCCTGGTTTTATACTAAAGGCATTTCTGTCCTGGTTTTATACCATAGGCATGGCTGTCCTGGTTTTATACAGTGGGCAAGGCTGGCCTGGTTTAATACTGTAGGCATGTCTGGCTGTTTTATACTGTAGGCATGTCTGGCCTGGTTTTATACTGTAGGCAAGGCTGGTCTGGTATTATACTGTAGGCATGTCTGGCCTGGTTTTATACTATAGGCATGTCTGGCCTGGTTTTATACTGTAGGCAAGGCTGGCCTGATTTTATACTGTAGGCATATCGGTCCTGGTTTTTATACTGTAAGCATGATTGGCCTATTTTTATACAGTAGTCATGTCTGGCCTGGTTTTATACTGTACATATGGCTGGCCTGGTTTTATACTGTTTAGATGGCTTGCCTGGTTTTAAACTGTAATCCTGGCTGTCCTGGTTTTATACTGTACATTTGTTTGGCCTGGTTTTATACAATAGGCATGCCTGACCTGGTTTTAATTTTATACCATAGGCATGACTATCTTGGTTTTATACTGTACACATGTCTGGCCTGGTTTTATACTGTAGGCATGGCTATCCCGGTTTTATACTACCGGGATGTCTTGCCTGGTTTAATACTGTAAGCATATCAGTCCTGGTTTTATACTGTAAGCATGATTGGCCTAGTTTTATACTGTAGGCATGACTGGCCTAGTTTTATACTGTAGGCATGGTTGGCTTGGTTTTATAATATACATATGTCTGGCCTGGTTTAATACTGTAGTCCTGTCTCGCATGGTTTTAATCTTAAAGCATGGCTGGCCTGGTTTCATATTAATACCATAGGCATGGCTGTCCTGGTTTTATACTGTCTGCATGACTGTTCTAATTTTAAACTGTAGGCTTGACTGGCCTAGTTTTATACTGAACATATGTCTGGCCAAGTTTTATACTGTAGGCATGATTGGCCTAGTTTTATTCTGTAGGCATGGCTGGCCGGTATTGTGGTTTATACTGTAGCATGACTGTAGGCATGGATGACCTGGTTTTACAATGAAAGCCTGGCTGGCCTGGTTTAATATTGTTAGTATGTCTGGCCTGGTTTTAAACTGTAGGCATGACTGGCCTGGTTTTATACTGTAAGCATGATTGGCCTGGTTTAATACTGTAAGCATGGCTGGCCTGGTTTTATACTGTACAAATGACTGGCATGATTTTATACTGTAGGCATGGCTGGCCTGTTTTTATACTGTACATATGGTTGGCCTGGTTTTATACTGTAGGCATGACTGGTCTGGTTTTATACTGTAAGTATGTCTGGCCTGGTTTTATACTGTAGGCATGTCTGGCCTGGTTTAATACTGTAATCCTGTCTGGCCTGGTTTAATAATGTATGTCTGGCTTGGCTTAATACTGTAGGAATGGCTGGTCTGGTTTTATACTGTAGCATGATTGGCCTGGTTTAATACTGTAGGCATGGCTGGCCTGGTTTAGTACTGAAGGCATGGCTGGCCTGGTTTTATACTGTAAGCAAGGCTGGGCTGGTGTAATACTGAGAGTATGGCTGAACTGGTTAAATACTATACATATGGCTGGCCTGGTTTCATACTGTAGGCATGGCTGGCCTGGTTTAATACTGTAATCATGGCTGGCCTGGTTTAATATTGTAGGCCTGTCTGACCTGGTTTTATACTGTAATCATGTCTGGCATGGTTTAATACTGTAGGCATGGCTGGCCTGGTTTTATACTAGAAGTATGGAAGGCCTTATTTAATACTGTAATCATGTCTGGCCTGGTTTAATACTGTACGCATGGCTGGCCTGGTTTTATACTGTAAGTACGGCTAGCCTTGTTTAATACTGTAGGTATGGCTGGCCTGGTTTTATACTGTAAGCATGGCTGGCCTGGTTTAATACTGTAGGCATGTCTGGCCTGGTTTAATACTGTAAGTATGGCTGGCCTGGTTTAATACTGTAATCATTGCTGGCCTGGTTTAATACTGTAGGCATGTCTGGCCTGGTTTAATATTGTAGGCATGTCTGGCCTGGTTTAATATTGTAATCATGTCTGGCCTGGTTTAATACTGTAATCATTGCTGGCCTGGTTTAATACTGTAGGCATGTCTGGCCTGGTTTAATATTGTAGGTATGTCTGGCCTGGTTTTATACTGTAATCATGTCTGGCCTGGTTTAATACTGTAATCAAGTCTGGCCTGGTTTAATACTGTAGGCATGGCTGGCCTGGATTTATACTGTAAGTATTGCTGGCCTGGTTTAAGACTTAATGTATGGCTGGGCTGGTTTAATACTGTAAGTATTGCTGACCTGGTTTAATACTGTAATCATGTCTGGCCTGGTTTAATACTGTAATCAAGTCTGGCCTGGTTTAATACTGTAGGCATGGCTGGCCTGGATTTATACTGTAAGTATTGCTGGCCTGGTTTAAGACTGTATGTATGGCTGGGCTGGTTTAATACTGTAAGTATTGCCAGGCTTTCTACTGCCTCTACCAAAAAAACTAGGGAAAAAGTAGGGCATTTTTTTACCAAAAAGTAGGGCAAAGTAGGGATTTCTGATGTTAAAAACTAGGGATAAAGTAGGAATTTCTTACCGTTTTAGTTAAGAATTAGCAAAACATACCATCACCAAGACCACATCAGGCTGTGTGTATCTTCAGTTCAGTCCATGCTTGAAAGACATGCACCTCATAGGCAGAATGTTGCTGAATGTTTTGCCAAGGCACCATGAGCAGAGCTGCATCAGTACTAAGGGTGTAGTACTTAAGTACCAGTTCCAGTACTTGCCAAGTTTTGCAGTACCATTTCCAGTACTAGTACTTGATTTTAGCTTGGTACTGCAGTACCAGTACTTTTTTGGGGGAAGTAATTAAGTACAAGTACTAATACTTTTATATATTCATCAAAGTTTGAATAAATACACAGTGTCATTCAAAATAATTGCAAACATTATTCCACAAAGAAATAAAATCATTTACATTAAAGTTGACATTGCATTTTTACAACTTAAATGAACGAACATACCTTTTACAAACAATAATCATCATATATTCAGGTCATATGTTAGTGTTTTGTAACCACAGTCAACTGTAATACAATGCATTATCTTACATTTTAAACCCACCAGTCTTTTTGTTGCCTTTTACACCTTCACACCTCTGTTCAATTTATACCAAAGTAAATAACTTTTTTATGGTGCTAAGCCTAACAATATCACTTGAAATATGATTATTTAGAGCAGAAGTAATTTATTAGTGTTTATTTCGCTCTTTTTTTTACTAGTAAATACAAAGTAATAAGATTGCAATAAGGATATTTTACCAGCAAAGAGTTGTTGACTCTGTTTATCTCAATTTAATTTTACTTTAAGTCTTTGGTGCTTTTTTTATGATGAATACTATGTTAACATTTGAAGGAATATTGCAGCAAATTATTTATAGATTTGATAACTTACTTTTTCAAAAAAATAAAATAATATGTGAAATTTACAGCTTTACTTTATGAATAAAAATAATGACATTTTTATCAAAACCAAAAATACTGCCTAGTAATGCAGTAGCAGTACCACTTTTTTAAGACAGTAATGCAGTACCAGTACCTGAGTAGTAGCAAAATTTTGTAAGAGTAATTCAGTATCAGTACCAGTACTTGCAAAATTGCTCCAGTATATACTGCAGTACTAGTACCAGTAATGCAGCTCTGACCATGAGTCTTTCAAGGGTGGACATCACAAGGAGACACTAACACACACCTGAACTATTAATCAATTGCAACTGAAATACAACTGAAATACCATTTTAAATATCTTCTTTTTTTCATTTCATTTCAAAATGAAAAAGTAGGGATAATAGGGCTATTTCAGAAAAAAGTAGGGCAAAGTAGGGATCAAAAGAAAAAAGTAGGGAAAAGTAGGAAAAGAAGGAAAAGTAGGGACCAGTAGAAAGCCTGTATTGCTGACCTGGTTTAATACTGTACATATGGCTGGCCTGGTTTCATACTGTAGGCATGGCTGGCCTGGTTTAATACTGTAATCATGGCTGGCCTGGTTTAATATTGTAGGCATGTCTGGCCTGGTTTTATGCTGTAATCATGTCTGGCCTGGTTTAATACTGTAGGCATGTCTGGCCTGGTTTTATACTATAAGTATGGCTGGCCTTATTTAATACTGTAGGCATGGCTGGCCTGGTTTAATACTGTAAGCATGACTGGCCTGGTTTAATACTGTAAGTATGGCAGGCCTGGTTTAATACTGTACGTACGGCTGGTCTGGTTTAATACTGTAATCATGTCTGGCCTGGTTTAATACTGTAAGGCATGGTTGGCCTGGTTTTATACTGTAAGTATGACTGGCCTGGTTTAATACTGTACGTACGGCTGGCCTGGTTTAATACTGTAATCATGTCTGGCCTGGTTTAATACTGTAGGCATGGCTGGCCTGGTTTTACACTGTAAGCATGGCTGGCCTGGTTTAATACTGTAGGCATGTCTGGCCTGGTTTGATACTGTAAGTATGGCTGGCCAGTCAGGGTTCGAATTTAAGCTGGCATACTGGCAAAATGCAAGTTAAAATCTAATAATGCCAGTATAAATTACTCTAGCTGGCATTTATTTGCAAGTGACTGTTCATTTTGGATGTTTACATAATTGTTATCTTCTGAGCTGATGATGATGATACTGCAGTAACTGATGATGTTTACCTTAAAAACTTAAAAATAAATTTTAAGTTGCTCTACAGGTATTTATTTTTTCTGTGACTATATTTTGATGGATTATTTATAATAGCGAAACACTATTGGTTAGAACATCCAAGATGTTTTATCAGGGTCCAATGTTAATGCGTAGCACTCCTCTGTAAAGTGTTTACTTTTAAGCTGAAATATTTATTTATTTTAAGTAGATCAGTACCTCTGAGTTTTAAGGTTGTTGGTGTAATCAAGTACAAAATATGCTTAAATTAATGAAGGCCCCAAGAAATTCCATAACATGAACAAGTTTATAACTGTACATTGTCACCAGTGGGTGTTCCTCTGGTAAATCGAATCTGATCCCTTAACAATTGTTTATCATTTATAAATTAATGTGTTGAAATGTTTTTGTTTCTTTACAAGAAGACATCTGTGTTTACCAGTTATAAAGATGTTTCTGATATTCAATGGACATTCAAGCTTAATATCATTTGTCATACCAGATGTTCAAAATACATTGTCATTGTGTATTATAATAATAATAATAAGGTACGTGATCATGGAAATGCCAGTTGACTACCTCATATTGACAGTTAAACATTTGATAGCTTGCAAAAATCTGCAAGTAGAAAATCTTGCTAAATTCTAACCCTGGGCCTTGTTTAATACTGTAGGCATGGCTAGCCTGGTTTAATACTGTAAGCATAGCTGGCCTGGTTTTAAACTGTAAGCATGGCTGGGCTGGGCAAGGCTGGCCTGGTTTTATACTGTAAGCATGGCGGGGCTGGTTTCATACTGTAAGCATGGCTGGCCTGGTTTTATACTGTAAGCATGGCTGGCCTGGTTTTATACTGTAGGCATGGCTGGCCTGGTTTTATACTGTAGGCATGTCTGGCCTGGTTTTATACTGTAGGCATGGCTGGCCTGGTTTTATACTGTAGGCATGGCTGGCCTTGTTTTATACTGTAGCCATGGCTGGCCTGGTTTTATACTGTAAGCATGGCTGGACTGGTTTTATACTGTAATCATGGCTTGCCTGATTTTAAACTGTAGGCGTGTCTGGCCTGATTTTACACTGTAGGCATGGCTGGCCTGATTTTACACTGTAGGCATTGCTGACCTGGTTTTACAGTTTAAGCATGGCTGGCCTGATTTTAAACTGTAGGCGTGTCTGGCCTGATTTTACACTGTAGGCATGGCTGGCCTGATTTTACACTGTAGGCATTGCTGTGGCCTGATTTTAAACTGTAGGCATGTCTGGCCTGGTTTTATACTGTAAGCATGGCTGACCTGGTTTATACTGTAGGCATGGCTGGCCTGGTTTTATACCGTAGGCATGCTTTCTTCAATGCTATTACTCCAAAAGCTATATATTTTCAAACTTGTTAAACTTTTTTATCATCAGTATAGTATGTAGTAAATGAATTTCCATTTAAAAGTATATGTTACATGGTTTCTGTCAAGATATCATGGTAGAGAAAAATATGTTTGATTTTTTTTGGTGGATCAATATTTCAAATGAAAGTTACCTAGGTAAAACCACAATGCTTGTAAGTGAAAGACATCATAAAATTTTTCAGTATCCGCCAAGTGTTAAATGAGCCTCACCATGGCAAAACCAAAATAGTTCTGTTTGCGACCAGCATGGATCCAGACCAGCCTGCACATCCGCCCAGTTTGATCAGGATCCACGCTGTTTGCTGTCAGTTTCTCTACTTGTAATAAGGTTTGTAAGGGAACAGCATGGATCCTGATCAGACTGCGCGGAAGCGCAGGCTGGTCTGGATCCGTGCTGGTCGCAAACCCACAATGTTGGTTTTGTCCTGACACGGCTCAAATGGTTGCACAGGTTTAAAACTAACCTTTGACAAAGATTTGTAGCTATGACAACAGTGAACTGGTTGAAGAAATCTACATTTGTGTCCAGCATCTTGTCTGGTTGCTAAAATGATACAAGAAATAAACAGTATTATTTCATAGAAACAAGCAGATAAATTTAATTCAAATTAAGCATTAATTCTACAAATAGTTTAAAACCTAGTAATATACAGCTTAATAAGATCTTAGCCTCAAACCTTCTTGTTGCTTCTGACCCTAACTTAAATAGTATAGCTAGGAAAAAGTATGAAGTTGAAAACTTTGAAAAAAAACAACAACACCAACCCCCTCCCCCCCCAAAAAAAAACCCCCACCAAAAAACCACCAAAAACAACAAACAGAAAAAGAAACAACAAGAAAAAACAAGGAGTCTTGTATGTTTAAATAAAATATGTGAGATTTTAAGCATTGAAATATTTTTGCAAGGAGTAAAGTCAAACAACTTCTTATGACAGTTTTCATACAAAGGCTGTATATTTTCCCATTTTCAAACAGCTGGTCTTGAAATTCAAGGTACTTTGTCTATTAAATTAACATCTTAATTATACAGCTTCAATTTTTACACTCCCAACTAGGCTGTCCACTAAATAGTTGAAAACAAGAGGGCCATGATGGCCCTGAGGTCGCTCACCTGTATATAGGCCCCCGGAGCGGGGCCAGTTTAAATCCCAGGGCTTTTATTTGAACAAACTTGGAAGACACCAATTAGAAGATGTTTCATGCTAAACATCTAACCTCTAACTCATTGGGTTTTTTTAAAAGAAGATTTTTTAAGTTTTTACTATACACATATAGTTAAAAACAATGACACCTCTGGGGCGGGGCCAGTTTTGACCCCAAGGCTTTTATTTGAACAAACTTTGTAGACACTTACTAGAAGATGTTACATGCTTAATATCTAAACTCTAGCTATTTGGTTTTTTTTCAAGTTTTTGCCATACACATATAAGGAAAATCAATGACCCCCGGGGTGGGGCCAAGGGCTTTTATTTGAACAAACTTTGTAGACACTCACTAGAAGATGTTTCATGCTTAATATCTAAACTCTAGCTATTTGGGTTTTTTCAAAGAAGATTTTTAAAGTTTTTGCTATACACACATAAGGAAAATCAATGACCCCCGGGGCTGGGCCAATTTTGACCCCAGGGCTTTTATTTGAACAAACTTTGTAGACACCCATTAGAACATGTTTCATACTAAATATCTTAGCTCTAGCTCTTTGGGTTCTTTAAAAGAAGATTTTTTAAGTTTTTACTATATGCATATAGGGAAAATCAATGACCCCTGGGGTGGGGCCAATTTTGATCCCAGGACTTTTATTTGAACAAACTTGGTAGACACTCATTAGAAGATATTTCATGCTAAATATCATAGCTCTAGCTCTTTCGGTTCTTTAAAAGAAGATTTTTTAAGTTTTTACTATATGCATATAGGGAAAATCAATGACCCCCTGGGGCGGGGCCAATTTTGACCTCAGGGCTTTTATTTGAACAAACTTGGTAGACACTCACTAGAAGATGTTTCATGCCAAATATCTAAGCCCTAGCTTTTTGGGTTTTTCAAAAGAAGATATTTAAAGTTTTTTCTTTCGGTTGCCATGGCAACCAGAGTTCTGCTTGGAATTAAATTCTTTGAACAATTTTTAAAGGTGACCACCAAAGGAACATTCCTGTGAAGTTTGGATGAAATTGGCTTAGTGGTTTATGAGGAGATGTCATGTAAAGTAAAAGTTTACGGACGGACGCCGGACGGATGACGGACGAAAAGCGATCACAAAAGCTCACCCTGTCACTTTGTGACAGGTGAGCTAAAAAGATACATAGTCTGTGAACATAAAGATGGTAAGTCAGAGACTGTAGTGTGTCTGAATATTTAATACTTTTCAACTTGACCATCGATCTTGATAGGTCATTATAGCTAACACATGTATTTCATCTCATTTGTATATTGAAAATGTACCATATAATTGAATTCAACTTATAAAATATTTATAATTTAAATTATTCTTCAAAGTTTTTCTTAAGAAAAAGAACACTAAAAAAGAGCCCCTGGTATAGGATTGAAGTAGAAAATGATTGAGATGGCAATCATAACTGGCTGGCTATTGAGGATCTTATTATCTCCTTGAAACTCTGACTTGCATTTTAACCAGTGACTGAACCCCTGGATCAGATGGGGTATCAGGCCCATACATTACCTGCCTGACTTCCTACACCTTTATCAAATATAAATCATTTGATAAGTCACAAACATAAAAAATTTCCATAACCTAAACCTAGGCTACAGTAAGTTTTCTCTAGACACAACATGTTTATAACTTGTAAAATCGATACATCATTATTATATTTTATACTATAATGACCGAATATATAAATTATAACTTTTATATATTCAGTAACAGATTGATTATAATTTATAACAGATTGATACAATATGAGCATGCTTTACACTAGTGATAACAATTTTCTGTCATGTCATGACATATGTTAACCCTGAACATGCTGAATATTCTAAATGGACTTGTCCCACTTCCATTTTAGGACTGTCAATTATAAATTTAAGGTATATAAATTTGAATTTTCAAAGTTTGTCAACCAACGAATGTGCTGGCTGGCCTGGCTCTGTACTGGTGGTTCCAGCACTTTAATGGTTAAGTATATGTGCCATTAATTACATAAAACAAATCCAGGGACTGACATCCACCACTGTGACAAATTTCTTAATGTCTATTTTCACATAATTATATGTTATAATACATTGAAATTCGATGAAGGAGTTTTTCACTTTAAATGCTAAAGAACTAGTTATCTAATTAAACATTAGGAGATATGGTGTATCAAACTGACATACAAACATATAAGCTGCGTCATGACAAAACCAACATAGTGTGTTTGCCACAAGCATGGATCCAGACCAGTCTGCGCATCCGCGCAGTCTGATCAGGATCCATGCTGCTTGCTTACCATCCCTATTACAAGTAGAGAAATTAAAAGCAAACAGCATGGATCCTGATCAGACTGCGTGGATGCAAAGGCTGGTCGCAAACCCACTATGTTGATTTTGTCGTGACACGGCTCATATCATAAAAATTCTTTTGTCATCCACGTACTTTCCTTTTAACGTAAGTTTCAGCTTTACAGCCTTTTTCAAAATAATACAAATTTAGTTCTGCCTATACTTTATTACTGCCATCATTATTTTACAATGATAGAATGTAAAACTTTTCTAGAATTGTATTATTTTGATTAAGGCCATATGGGCGAAATGTAAATAAAGCAAGAGCTGTTAGTAAGACAGCATGGTTGACAGTAAAACCAAAGCATGGGGGGGATTAAATAAAAAAAAAAAATAAGTAAAAAAAGAGTTATAATTCTGTAGGTGGGTTGTTTGGTAGGTTTTCAAGTTGGTAGATTGGTTGGTCTGTTAATTTTACAATGTTTCAGCCTGATACCAGTCAGTCAGATTTTGTTTCCACCTATATTTGTCAAGGAAGACCCCAGTTGCCCAAATTATCACTCAATCTTATTAACTTAGTTAATCAGGTTAAATTTCAAGTCACAGCTGTAATTAAGACCATCTATTATCATAGACAACATACATGGGTGCAAGATAAAAATATGAGAAAATCTTGGTTTTATATAGAAAAATAGAGCTTTCAGGAGTACAAAAATCAAAACTCCAGGCAAACGCCTGAAAACGTGAATCCATGAACATATGAGCCGCGTCATGGCAAAACCAACATAATGGGTTTGCGACCAGCATGGATCCAGACCAGCATGCACATCCGCAGTCTGATCAGGATCCATGCTGTTCGCTATCAGTTTCTCTACTTGTTAAAGAGTTTGTAAGGGAACAGCATGGATCCAGATCAGACTGCGCGGATGCGCAGGCTGGTCTGGATCCATGCTGGTCACAAACCCATTATGTTGGTTTTGTTGTGACGCGGTTAATTTATTATTACAACCAAATTGATTTTTCAAATCTGCCAATCTAAGGTGATTTTTTTCTTTCTTATCCAATACTTGCTAAATATTGACTGAAATACTTTGTCCCCCCTTTAAAAGTTCTTATCAAACATATATACAAAATGCAATTATAATTTTTGGGTTGTTTTATAATTCACATTGACTTCATAGTTTATGAAAAGATTCTAACTGATAATTTGAGCTGCACTATAGGCATAGGCATGTACCTTAGCAGTATGTGTATGTCCCTTGTGTGAGTCAAACTCACAGTGGTAATCGGCAAGAAAACAGATCAGCAAACCTAAACCACTCAGCCTCTATATTAATTAAAAGCAATATACAACCATACAAAACATCCATATACAACCATAATTATTTTTCCATCGATTGGATTTAAAAATCTGAATACTAATGTGAGCAAGTAATATTTCAATATTGAAGTCACATTTACTTGTCACAGATATTGCCTTTAATATGAACTAGTTCATGGACTGAAGCCTTGACATAGAAAGAAAAACTAGTTTACCTTGTTCCTAAAACAAGGCGGACCTTAATACTAAGTCATTTTAATATTTGCTGTACAAGATGTTAAAACATGGGGACAATTTTGAATCTGTAATTTCTTCAATAACATCACAGTTCTAGTTTTTAGACAAATAATTTCAAGATGTCATCAAGCCAGCCATACTTATAAACAGTTAAAATATAACAAGAGGGCCATGATGGCCCTGAGGTCGCTCACCTGTATATAGCCCCCCCCCCCCCCCCGGGCCAATTTTTACCCAAGGGCTTTTATTTGTTTATTTGAACAGACTTTGTAGACACCCATAAAAAGATGTTTCATGCTAAACATCTAAGTTCTAGCTCATTGGGGTTCTTAAAAGAAGATTTTTAAAGTTTTTACTATACACATATAGTTAAAAACAATGACACCCCTGGGGCAGGGCCAGTTTTGACCCCAGGGCTTTTATTTGAACAAACTTTGTAGATATTTACTTAAAGATGTTTTATGCTTAATATCTAAACTCTAGCTATTTGGGTTTTTTCAAAGAAGATTTTTAAAATTTTTACTATACACATATAGTTAAAATCAATGACCCCCTGGGGTGGGGCCAATTTTGACCTCAGGGCTTTTATTTGAACAAACTTGGTAGACACTCATTAGAAGATGTTTCATTTAAATATCTTAGCTCTAGCTCTTTGGGTTCTTTAAAAGAAGATTTTTTAAGTTTTTACTATATGCATATAGGGAAAATCTATGACCCCCTGGGGCGGGGTCAATTTTGACCTCAGGGCTTTTATTTGAACAAACTTGGTAGACATTCACTAGAAGATGTTTCATGCCAAATATCTTAGCTCTAGCTCTTATGGTTCTTTAAAAGAAGATTTTTTAAGTTTTTATTATATGCATATAGGGAAAATCAATGACCCCCTGTGGCGGGACCAATTTTGACCACAGGGCTTTAATTTGAACAAACTTGGTAGACTCTCACTAGAAGATGTTTCATGCTTAATATCTTAGCTCTAGCTCTTTGGGTTCTTTAAAAGAAGATTATTTAAGTTTTTACTATATGCATATAGGGAAAATCAATGACCCCCTGGGGTGGGGCCAATTTTGACCCCAGGGCTTTTATTTGAACAAACTTGGTAGACATTCACAAGAAGATGTTTCATGCCAAATATCTTAGCTCTAGCTCTTATGGTTCTTTAAAAGAAGATTTTTTAAGTTTTTACTATACGCATATAGGGAAAATCAATGACCCCCTGGGGCAGGGCCAATTTTGACCCCAGGGCTTTTATTTGAACAAACTTGGTTGACACTCACTAGAAGATGTTTCATGCCAAATATCAAAGCTCTAGCTCTTTGGGTCCTTTAAAAGAAGATTTTTTAAGTTTTTACTATATGCTTATACGGAAAATCAATGACCCCCTGGGGCGGGGCCAATTTTGACCCCAGGGCTTTTATATGAACAAACTTGGCAGGCACTCACTAGAAGATGTTTCATGCCAAATAACTAAGCTCTAGCTCTTAGGGTTGTTTAAAAGAAGATATTTAAAGATTTTTAAAGAGTTCTGCATGGAATTAAATTCTTTGAACAATTTTTAAAGGTGACCACCAAAGGAACATTCCTGTGAAGTTTGGATGAAATTGGCTCAGTGGTTTATGAGGAGATGTCATTTAAAGCAAAAGTTAACGGATGGACGACGGACGGACGCCAGACGAAAAGCGATCACAAAAGCTCACCCTGTCACTTTGTGACAGGTGAGCTAAAAACAAGAGCTGGTTGAACCGGGTGATGCTCCCAGAATAGGTTTTGGACACCGGAAGGTATACCTCTTGTAGTGTCAGAGTTATGTCACAGACAAAGTTCAAAGTGTAAAAACAACCCAAATGCTGTGCACGACACATTGTCTCAATATGGTGATCTTTTCTGTGAAATAGTTGTAAAATCCGACTACAAATAACAAAGTTATGGGCCGGGCATGATTCTGCTGCAAGGTCATGCTGTGACCTTGACCTTCAAGGTAGCAACCCTAATGTTGCATGTGACACGTCAATTCAATATGGTGATTATCTCTGTGAAATAGTTGTTAAATCCGACTTCAAGAAACGAAGTTACCGTATAAGTACTTTTTTCTGTGGGAACTTTATTTCTGCTATTTCTGCGGTTTGTTACGACACCGCAGATTTAAAAACCGCAGAAAATTAAGCCTTTCTCGGCTTTGTTTATGTAAATATGTGTCGGAATTTCAGCTACCGGTAATGTCTAACTACATTACCTAACAATTATCATGTATTGTTATCGGCTTTTAACGGTATAAGTAGATTTTTCTTTCTGTCATGAATAAAAGATTATAAAAAAATCGTTACTTTGCTTGTTATTTTTGTTGAAATAAATATCATGTTGGTATGATTTTCGCTCACTCTGAGCTTGAATTATTTGATATAATAAAATGACTATAGTATATGGAGGTTGAAGGTGCTAAACGAGTCGAAATCTCAGGCTTTGGAGACAAACGACAATTCACTGTCGTATTTGCTGGTACACTGCAAGGTAAATCTAAATTTTCTCTGCCGAATATTTTATATAATTGAATGCTTGATAAAACTTATATTTTTTATCATTGCAATTAAATATTAAAATTGTGTTTAAAAATGTGTTCATGTGCAGTGTATATCGTTGTTAATACCGCTGTTTTAGTTTAAAATAATTTTAACAACACCATTATCAAAAACCTGATAAAATGACCATTGTTTGAAATTATCATTAAAACCTGCAATAAACACGCTTTTATGTACCACTGTGTTATGTGCGAATTTGCCATTGTGTATTTTTCACACTTACCTGTAAATGACCACTTAAGCGAAATGATCGAAATTCTTTTATTCATGTTGAAAGAGACGAACATTTGCAAGTTTTTCCACAGATTCTTTTCAATGTATAAACATGCATACTTTAATTGTTGTGAATATAATGAATATATATATAATGAATATAAGGACTATAATGAACCTAAAGATAGTAAAATACATGAATGCTTCAAATTTAAACACATACAGTATTAAAATTGTTGTCATTGCATGTTGTTGTTCTTTTTTCTTAATAATTACCTAATACTGGTATATAGTGTATATACCGATACATGATGATTACAACGAAACACATTATCAGTCGTCTGCATTTTACTGGAAGTAATGACACATCAACAAATCTTGAAATGCTGTTTATTTTTATTGGTTAATTGTGTACAAATATCATGATTTAAACGCAGAAATAAAACACTTGAATGGGAGAATGATGGCACTGCAGAAATAAGAAACGCAGAAATTTAAGACCCCTAATTTTAACGAATATCGCAGAATTTTAAGACCGCAGAAATAAGTACTTATACGGTATGGTCCGGACACTATTTTGCTGCAAGGTCATGCGGTGACCTTGACCTTCAAGGTAATGACCTAAATGTTACGCTCTACACCTCGTCTCAATATGGTAGTCATTTCTGTGAAAAAGTTGTAAAATCCGACTTCAAATAATGAAGTTATGTGCCGGACACAATTTTGCTTCAAGGTCATGCTGTGACCTTGACCTTCAAGGTAGCAACCCAAATGTTGCGCGCGACACGTCGTCTGAATATGGTGATCATTTCTGTGAAATAGTTTTTAAAAAAATTTAAAGGCCAGCACGAATTCGGGACATACGTACAGACGGACTGACGGATGGTAGAACTGACGGCCAGACAACCCCACGACTATATGCTCCAATGACCAATCACCATATTAAGTTTGAAGTTCCTAGGCCTAAGCGTTCTTTTATTATTGATCTGAAACCGTTTTTACCTACAAGGTCAATGTGACCTTGACCTTTGACCTCTTGACCCCAAAATCAATAGGGGTCATCTGCTGGTCATGCCCAATCACCATACCAAGTTTGAAGTTCCTAGGCCTAAGCGTTCTATAGTTATCGATCGGAAACCAAATTTGGGACGTATGTACAGACGGACTAACAACCCTTTGACTATATGCTCCCCCGAAATTTTTCTGGGAGCATAATAAATATAAGTAAGTTGCAGCAGTGTTAATTTGTTTCACCCTTTTGAGCAATAAAAGCATTTCCCACTTCCCCAACCTCCTTCCCATTTTTTTTAAATTTCCAATCGAAGAGTAAATGCACAGGAAATGTCCAAATAACATTATATTTTGCCATAATTGTGTTGAAATTAATATTTTACTATGCCAAAATAATCAATAATCAATTCTAACCACAGAATTTTCTACTAATACCTTTTCAAACGTATGGGCAACCTTCAATTTTCAACAAAAAAGGTGGGGCAGTCTTTTTATAATTAAGGTTGTTTTTATATCTTATCCTAAACATTTTGTCATGATCAAATTGATCAATAATCACCATTATATCATTATATTAGCGAATGTCTTGAAATATATCACTATTTCAACTGGACAGTGAAAATAATGAGCATAATGTCCTTTTAAAGCTGACTAATATGTTAATATAATGCTGAAGTCCAAACTACATTTGACTTTTTCTGATATTTTATTCCAGTTTACTAGAATAAATGGAAGGAGCTATAAAGGGAAAAATTATTTTGCTTCAAACACTGTATCAAATTTAACATACTGGAAATTCCAGCAGTCAACTTGTATATTACCTATACTTCTACACTGCATTACTGATGCTATAAAGATAACCCTTATATCTAACCTGAACCTGACAACTTTATTTAAAGAACTAGTCAACCTTCTATTTTTGTTGATAATCAATTTTCGGGATATCAAAATAAAAATTTGAGGCATAAATTTTCATATCCTAGACTGGTACACATATTTCACAGTCATAAAAAGTGTACCATGAGTAAAATATGTGAACCTGTCTGTCTTGTAGGCAGTGAAAAGATGAATAATTACCTCTTCCATAAAATCTCCGGAAACATCTTCATTCAATTCAGATAAATACTCAGTGGCAAATTTTGCTCTAGACTGAAATATAAAGAAACTATTAATTTTACAATGATGAAATCAACCACTATAAATTTTTGATAAAACTTAATGATCTGAAATATTATCTCATCATTACTGGTGTTCATACTTATTTCAAAGTTGTTAATAAATTAATGACATTTTTCATAGTCAACATTTATTTCCTATTTCCATTTCTATACCAGTGTCAAATTTAAAACTCCTGTGATTTCCAAATAGACATCAAGAAAATGAGCTTAACTAGGTCTGGAAGTTAGCATACTTAGTCTATCTCTTAGCTCCTTAAGAGGTAACATACTTTCGCTTGTATCTGGAAGTTAACATACTTTATATTACTGCATGTTTGTAACGTTGCTTTTCATTGCATAATCGTTATGTTTATACAGTTTTATATACACAACTCTTGTTGATTCATGAAGAAATCTTACTTTTTACTCTAATAAATGATGTTTGCTGTATTATAAATTTGTTATAAAGATTTTTGATAGGTTATATGGCCGTATATAAACGGCTGTTTGCAATATCACCCTCGCCTAGCGGCTCAAATTATATATATAAGTTTATATAGGGCCATATAAACTGTCAACAATCTTTAAAACTAATAATTTATAGTATCTCCTGGTTCTTGAAGTTAGTATATATATGTTATTTCCTAGGTTTTAATGTTATTTATAATACTATATCCTGTGTATTGAAATTCTCATACTCTATCCTTGGTCTAGTAGTTAAAATTCTTTCTTTCTCATTATAATGAACATTTTAGGGTTTGACACAAGATCTACCCTTCAGTGGCCTTCATCTACCCTTTAAAGAACACAAGATGACATATTCTAAAATTGTAGCTAGAATCTCATATAATACAAGTTTAAATATATTAACAATAAATTATCACTTACCTGCCCTATTGACTCCTTAGTGAGGAAAAAACTGAAAACATTAACAACAACAACAAATATTAATAAAGACTAAAAGTGGCATAAAATATCTTGTCTTGTTTCAAAGTCATACTCAATTAGTATGGAACAGTTACATAACTACAGGAAGCCGTGATAAACATAAGAAATTTGTCAACTTTTATAATAGTTAGATGTTTGCTGAATGTGGTCTTTATTTTGAGATGGTCTTCAATACATGTTTGCTTTAAACATACATTTATTTAAGCTTGATTGCAAAACAAGTTCTTGCAACTTATATTAATCACGTTCGAGTCCGCTTCCTGGAACCAACTAGTACTGGTGTCACATGAAGAAACATGGTCATGACCCATGGACTCGGGCTCAAACCCATTATCCCCAGACTGAGAGGCAGACACCTTAACCACTAGCTAGGCTATTGCTTCCCTTGCACAAGATTGACAGCTGTGTCTAGTAGTAATCAATATGAAACTATTGTATGCATCTATGATCTAAAAAAAATATTATGATATAAAGTGATTATTACTTGTTGCCAACATCTTCTCCCTGTACTTTATTGCCATCAACAACAGTAAATGATCCAATTCCTGAAACACATAAGTATCATTTTTATTTGTATCTTCTCTAAAATCAAAACAACAAACACTAAAACGAATATACATTGTAGTCCTCCAGTATAAAATTATAAATTTGTTTATACGATAATTATAACCCTGCTTCATTTGCTGTCATAATGGCATTTTTTACATACCAAGGGGAGAAGGGGGTCAGTGGCATTTGTAGCCAAGTGCTTAAGGTCACTGACTTTAAACCAATTGCACATCAGCACTGTGTATTCCTTTCAGATTTTTTCATGTGTGGAAGCTATTCATTTAAATGATGGAATGTTCTACTTAGGTGCCCATTTGTGCCTGAAATAATGCACCAACGTGCTCCTGAGGTTCTATTCCACCAGTAAAGCTGGAAAGTCATCATATGTCATCTAACATGTTAGTGCATTATAAAACCCAACAAAATAAAAAAAAAAAGCAAAAAACCCACCCTTCATTATTACATTTTTTCTGATCACTCCTCCTACTTAAGGAAAATGCCCAGAAATGAACAAAAACTGTTGGTGGTTCGAAAGACAGACAGCAGCAAAGCAATATGCCCTCCATTCTCTTCGAAGGGGGGGGGGGGGACACATGAAAATATAGAAGTAATGAAAAGCTGATGCTTATTGGTGCTCATTTAGGTTAGTGGCTACCCTCTATTGTTCTCCTAGCCATGTAAGAGAAAAAGTAGCATTGTAAGAGCAGCGTCACAAAAACTTACTGCTACCTATTGTTCCCATTGTGTTTTTCTTCACAAGTCATTAAAATTTACTTAATGTCACTCTTATCAATATGGCTTATCTACCTTTAATCTAATGACCTCAAAATCAATAGAGGTTATCTATTGTTCATGAGCAATATCCCTTCTATGTAACAAAAACCATGGATTAATTCTCTTTTCAAGAAATTGATTGCATCACTGGCCAAGAGAAGTACAAACTGTCCAACCACTCACCACAGGGCATAAAAATAGTGAAATACCTGGTAATATTAAGTTTTTCAAAATTTCTGTCCCAGTAGCAGTTGCATTTATTAAGCATACCCTGGAAGTTTCTAATGCAGTCTGTCCATGGTCACCCCATAGCCTGAAACAAAAAATTAGAGTTACTCTTTAATTTCCTAAACAAAACACTTAAAATGTCTTTACTGGAACTATATTGTCAACCCTAGAACAGTAATGGGTTAACTCCTATTAGCATAAATTAAATAGTAGTGAACTTGTTACTGCATTAAAATAACAAGATTGCATTTGAGAAAAATGCTATGCCACCGCATGGTTCAAATTTCATATCTGTGCATCAAAGGACAAGAAAGTAGGTCACATCATCAAAATCTAGATCTAAGTTCAATTTTACAACTAAAACTGTGCACATGGTCAAAATTTCATTGCTGTACATCAAAGGACAAGAAAGTAGGTCACTGTTTCCTTGGGCAAGGCATAATTTTGACCCAAGGGTTTAATAACAATCTTGATACAGGTCCACCAAACAACATTTCAAGTCAAATATCTAAGCTATAGCTTTCTCCCATTCAGAAAACATTTGTTTTATTTTCTGTTTTTAATATGTGTACATAATGAGTATCACTGCCTAGAACAGTGCCAATTTTTGACATTTGAACAACTTTGGTAGAGGACCTATAGATGATATTATATATCAAATATCAAAGCTCTATGTCTTGAAACTTCAGAATTTTTTTTTTTTTTTTTTTCAATTTATGTACATAATGAAAATCAATGACACCCGGGGTTGAAACAATTTTGACCCCAGGGCTATAATTTGAACAATCTTGCTAGAGGTTCACTACACAATGTTTCATGCAAAATATCTTAACTCTATCCTATGTAAATTTAGAGAAGATGATTTTTTAAGTTTTAACTATATACATATAAGATAAACCTATGGCTCCCAGGGGCGGGGCTAATTTTGACACAAGATGCAAAATTTGAACAACTTTGGTAGAGTACCTTAAGATGATATTATTTAACAAATATTAAAGCTCTAAGCCTTGTACCTTCAGACAATAAGATGTTTTTATTTTTTACTATATGTATATATTGAAATCAATGGTTATAATTTGAACAATCTTGCTAGAGGTTTACAACACAATGTTTCATGCAAGATATCTAACCTCTAGCATTTGTCAATTGCTAGAAGAATTTTCTAAAGTTTTTACTATATACATATAAGGAAAACCAATGACCCCTGGGGCTGGGCCAATTTTGACCCCAGGGCTATAATTTGAACAATCTGGGTATAGGTCTACCAGACAATACCTTATGCAAAATATCTAAGCTCTAGACCTTTTGGGTCTTTACAAGAAGGTGTTTTAAGTTTTTCTTTTATGTACATATAGCAAAATCAATGACCCCGGGGCGGGGCTTATTTTGACCCAAGGGCTATAATTTGAACAATCTTGGTAAGGGTCTACCAGATGATGCCTTATGCAAAATATCTAAGCTCTATGCTTTTTGGGTTATTACAAGAAGGTATTTAAAGTTTTTACTATATGTACATATAAGGGAAACCAATGACCCCCCCCCCCCCCCACCCCCGAGGCGGTGCCAATTTTGACCCCAGGGCTATAATTTGAACAATCTTGATAGAGTTCTACCAGACAATGCCTTATGCAAAATATCTAAGCTCTAGGCCTTTTGGGTCTTTATAAAAAGATTTTTTAAATTTATTATTATAATTCCTTTTGGTTGCCATGGCAACCATATTTCTGCATGGAATGAAATTCTTTGAACAACTTTGGAAGCCCTTCACCCAAGGAACAATCCAGCCAAGTTTGGTTGAATTTGGACTAGTTGTTTTTCACAAGAAGATATTTTAAGTTCACTATATAATCTATATAACACAAACATACACACAGGTCAGTGATTAATCTAGATGTGCGTCTTGCGTAAAATACGCATAAAAATCGAAAAAGACGCACAGTTTCAAAATATGTGCGTTCAATTTGACGCATGCTAATCAGGAAGTTTATAATCCAAAATATCACGATTAGTGATTTCTATGTACAGATTGATTACTTTAATTTCATTAGTTGAATAATTTTTCAATTTCTTCAGTTGAATAATTTAATTTCCGATGATATCAGGTGCAAGACTAATCCCCCATTTGCTTGAAACGTTAAATCCCAAGCAATTGTTGCTTGTGATCGGTAACCGCCCATTATCGGCATTAGCCAATCAGAGCGTCCATTTTGCATAAGAGCGATTCGCATACAATGGTGAAATATGCAGACATTGGCGCTAAAAATGAGAAGGGCACAGGAAAATCGTCAGCAAATGACCAAAGGCGCATCAGACTTATATTGTATGTTATTTAGTCATCCAGACAAAACTGGTACCAACAGCAACAGGTTACCCATTCCCCTGTAATTACGCATATTCTTGAGTTTATCCATTTCCCTATAGCATTTTTCCAAGTTATCTACTTACCTAATCCCTTTCCCACCCATATGAACTCGAGAACGGGACCGCAGATTGCGGCGTATATTTTCGATCGTCACTCGTGTAACGGTTTTTAAAAACGTTTCTGCTACATCTAAATATCTTTTAGTATTATCCGAGTGTATGGACTCAAAAAATATATTATCAATTGAACCCAATCTGTCTTTTTTAAAACTGGTCAAATTTTACGATATTATATTCAATATATACCGTAAATTTGATTTTTAAATGAGCAGATTATATTAAATTGAGATTAGATAATTTAAGACCACCCGCTCGCATAATATGAAAAGATATTCAAAGGTCGGACAAACTAAATGTAAAGCCGGTACGGATTCGGATTTATGCGCCGCAATATGCGGTCCTGTTCCAGAGTTCCTATGTTCCCACCCACTACTGCATTTCTACAACCGTAAATTTAATCCAATAAAGCAAACAAAAAATCATTTATCTACTTAATATTTTAAATAATTATCGGTAACTGAAATAAAAGTGTTGCTATTTTAAGAAATGCTGTAAGTTACAGTATAATCTGACAGGTGTGTAATGATTTCCCCTAAGGTCACTCAAGTTCACGCGGAGTGTAAAAAAAAAGATGTCTATTACGTCATCAGAATATTTGACAGGGTGATTAACCAATCAGGGAAACATTGTGCATGACTTTTTTTCATGATCAAAAGGTCTGTCTGCGTAAGCTTTCTACACAGAGGCATACAAGGAGCAATAAAAGTCGTCAGTATGTTTACAGTGTGAGAGGGACATTTTGTGCAAATTACGAACAATTAAAATGGATAATGCACAGTATAAGACACAAGTAGTAAGAAAATATAAATTATGAAAATTAGATTTTTGAGCAGCCAATAAAAATTGTTTTGCCTGCAATTAATATTAGTACCAAAAATAACGTTTTTATGCACTTTAATTACTTAATCGCTTGTTATAAAAACATGCAAATCATGTCAAGGATCTGCTATTAAAAAGACGCATTTATTTTGCTACATGACTCATTGATTTTGCTACAGGACTCATTGTCTTCAAACATGTGCGTCATCCGACGCATTGTAAGGAATTTCTAGATTAATCACTGCACAGGTGAATCCCTATATACCACCGCATCGCAGATTGCGGTGGCATAAAAAAAATATCAATTTTATCTAAACTGCCAACAAATTCAACAATGATAGATACATATGTAAGAGTAACATGATGGGAAATTTTGATTGCTTGTTTCCGAAGATATTGTAGGTTCAAGTATGACTGGTCTCAACAGTCCTCCCTCACATGATATCTTAATTTTTTGTCCTAGAAGCACACTCAAGGGCTGTTGAAGTTATCTCATAAGGTCCCTGGTATAAATTGAGGGGGAAACTGTACATAGCCATCATAGATATGATCACATAACATGTTACAATTTTCAAGAAAAAGACTCACTGATTGATGTTTGATAATGATTTTATTGCAGCTGTCGAATATCTTGTGTTTGTTAATTGGGAAAAAAAGATTTGTGCCTATACTTAGCCACTGGTGAAAGGGAAAAACTGCCTGAACTCTTATCTGAAAAGTACCTTTTGAATGATAACGTACCTATGGACTTCAGCAACAATCTAAGGATCATAAACAAAAAGATCATAAACAAGAAGACCATAAACAATTATAATATTGTATATGAACCAAGCTTAAGGTCATTACTTTGTCAAGTCTTGCATTATCATTACTATTGGGTTTGGTACAGTACTACCATTACTTGATTTTGGGCAAGTAATGCAGTACATTACTATTACTTGGACCAAGTCATGCATTAACAATACCATTATTTTTGAGCACAAGACAACTTCTTTTTGCCAAGCTAAGATGTTTTGTAGCTTACTTATATTTACAACAAATTAGGAACAGTTACATGTATCACTAGTAATTTGGGCATCAGCAACATTTGCACAATTAAATTCTGCCATGAATATATTCCAGTATTCAATGAGGTAATGATATTAAACAAGCAGGACATGACATTAATGGTAATATAACTGCCAAGGACAATAAAAGTTTGGTATTTGGATGTAAATTCCAAAAAATTGTCAAGTGCACAAGAAAGAACAATAAATCTGATTTTTGTATACTTATAATATTGCAGCAGTGACCATAAGTGGACAACAGCTTTGCAGGGCAAAGGTGTCCCTCCCCATCATCAGGGGCCAATTATGGAGATAAAAGGCCACATTTCCAATCAAAAATATCTGTCATTTTCTTCTATATTTCAATGTTTATACACAGAGGAAGGTAATGCTTGACTATTCCCACTGCTTAATAGTAAAACAAGAGCCTGGATAATGTAGGATTTTTTAAGTGCAAAAAGGGCCAAAATTCTGTCCAAATCCATGTTAGATGAGCCTTTGACAGTGCCTTCCTATTATGCTCTCAAATAAGTGTATATTAAGTTTCAAACTATTCCTTTCGGTAGTTATGAAGATACCAGCTTACACCAAAAAAAGTTCTAAATAAACAGAAGGATATATTAAATATGCAAAAAAGCAAATCAGTGTTATAGGGCCTTCTGTCAACACAGGGAACAAGTATGTTAAGTTTCACTACATTCCCTTCAGTAGTTACTGAGTATAAGAATCTTACACCGGCTGCCGGTACAGACCGGAATTATAAAATCTAGCTCGAGGGTGACTGTTTACGGGGGTAACGAGGCTCTGCCGAGTTTCCGCCGTAAACAGTCACCCGAGAGCTAGATATTCCTGTCTGTACCGACAGCCGGTGTTTGATTCTTTTTCTTGCATATAACATATCAATTATTTTTAAACAGAAATTACAAAAACGGATATTCTTATAACGCACTTTTTACTTATAGTAGCCTATGAACTGACAATTTCATTCAAAACGGTTAAGTGACGTCATCCTAAGAACGCAATTCATTCATAAAAGGCTTGCATCAATGATGTCATTTAAAACACGCGACTTGTCTTACATGGGGGGTGTAAGATAGAGTTTTCTAGCACCAGTGTAAACGGAAGATAATCCTGTCTGATATGCAAGAAATACTAGCCTACACCTGAAAACTTAATCAAGAATTTTCTAGATTGAAAAATAGACAGCATAGCTGGCATGCTTTATTATTCTCAGTACTTTACAGTAAAAACAAGAGCCTGGATTATGTAAAAATTTCTACTTTCAACAAGGGCCATATTTTTGTCAAAATCTATGTCAGAGTTATGGTCCTCTGAATAGTAACCTTCTTTTATACTCGCATATATGTATGTGAATTTTCAAACCGTTCTTTTCAGTAGTTTTGGAGATACCAACTTGAATGCAAAAACTAAACCACAGTGTGACTCCAACACCAATTGGGAACTTGTGTACAATATCTAACCCTTTTTTTGAATAGTCAAGATAAAAATAGGTATTAATATGAAAATCATAGGTATGGGAATTGTGTCAATCATGTTAGATAATCACAAAGAATAAACATGAGAAGTTTCAATCCTTCCCTTCGGTACATGTAATTATGGGTGGATTGTCACAGTGACATCCCTGCAACAGTTGTGACTTTTCCACTCAGCACCAGATTGGGTGAAATTCGTGCTGTGGGTCACTGTGAAATATTGCAATGACATCTTTCATTCAGATAAATACCCCATGTTATATTCATTGAATCGTTTGTTTTTGTTACTGAAATTCATCCAATGTCTAGGCACTTAAATTCACAAAAACACTTGTTAACAATAAATCAAATATAATGTTAACTAAGGTCTAAAAAATAGGTTTGTTTCTGGTAACATCTTTGACTTAACAATGGGTCGGTAGGTAGGCATTCTTTTTTTGTCTGAAATAAATAGTACAAAAAACTACTACAACAAACAGTTGTAGATCTATTATTAAAACTAGAACTGCCACTATCATGGCCTGAATACCCCTGCATACCACTTTGTCAGAATCAACAGTGGCCATTTAGAGCTCACGGACAACCTCCCTGCCAAATCTGAGGTTACTAAGCCAGTGCATTGCTAAGTTATGTATTCTACATGCTTCAAATGTGAAAATTTCAAAATCAATACATTGCGGACAGGACATTCTTTAGCAATTGAGAAGAAAAGCTTTTTTTGTCAAGGTCCCTGTGACCTTGACCTTTGACCCAGTGACCTCAAAATCAATAGGGGTCACCTTATAGTCATGATCAACATCCATGCCAAATATGAAGACTGTGGGTCAAAGGAATCTTAAGTTAATGGGTGGACAAACTTTTTGAAGTCAAAGTCCCTATGACCATGACCTTTGATCCAGTGACCTCAAAATCAAAATGGGTCATCTTCTAATCATGATCAACATCCATGCCATATATGAAGACTGTGGGTCAAAGGAATCTAAAGTTATTGGGCAGACAAACTTTTTGAGGTCAAAGTCCCTATGACCTTGACCTTTGACCTGGTGACCTCAAAGTCAATAGGGGTCATCTACTAATAATGACTAACCTCCATTCCAAATATGAAAACTGTGGGTCAAAGGAATCTTAAGTTATTGGGCGGACAAGCTTTTTGAAGTCAAGGCCCCTGTGACCTTGACCTTTGACTTGGTGACCTCAAAAGCAATAGGGGTCATCTACTTATCATGACTAGCCTCCATGCCAAATATGAAGACTGTGGGTCAAAGTAATCTTAAGTTATTGGGCAGACAATCTTTTTGAAGTCAAGGCGCCTGTGACCTTGACCTTTGACCTGAAGACCTCAAAGTCAAAAGGGGTCATCTACTAATCATGACTAACTTCAATGCCAAATATGAAGACTGTGGGTCAAAGGAATCTTAAGTTATTGGGCGGACAAGCTTTTTGAAGTCAAGGCCCCTGTGACCTTGACCTTTGACCTGGTGACCTCAAAATCAATAGGGGTCATCTACTAATCATGAATAACCTCAATGCCAAATATGAAGACTATGGGTCAAAGGAATCTTAAGTTATTGGGCAGACAAGCTTTTTGAAGTCAAGGCCCCTGTGACCTTGACCTTTGACCTGGTGACCTCAAAATCAAAAGGGGTCATCTATTAATCATGACTAACCTCCATGCCAAATATGAAGACTGTGGGTCAAAGGAATCTTAAGTTATTGGGCGGACAAGCTTTTTGATGTCAAGGCCCCTGTGACCTTGACCTTTGACCTCAAAATCATTAGTGGTCATCTACTTATCAAGACTAACTCCACGCCAAATATGACGACTGTAGGTCAAAGGAATCTTAAGTTATTGGACGGACAAGCTTTTTAAAGTCAAGGCCACCGTGACCTTGACCTTTGACCTAGTGACCTCAAAATCAATAGGGTCATCTACTAATCATGACTAACCTTCATGCCAAATATGAAGACTAAGGGTCAAAGGAATCTTAAGTTATTGGGCAGACAAGAAAAAACCGCCGACGGACGGCCGGACAGCTGGACGGACGGCCGGACAAGCTGATTCCAGTATACCCCCCTTACAACTTTGTTGTGCGGGGGTATAATAATATAGTTTCACATATATGACACTCTCTTGCAATCTGATTTACTAAAATTTTATTATAATATTTAAACTAGAAGGCGATTTATAATAGTTTCTAATAAAATTTTACAGAGCTGTATTATTTCCACTGTTTTATAAAACTTTCTGTCTGAAAACGAAAGAACAGAATTTTATGGATAATTAAATGAAAAGCAGTGCAACGAGACAATTTTTGAGACCAGAAAAACAAACGAAAAGTAATATTTAAATTGCTGAATTAGCTTCTGGAAATTGACGCTGCACTTTGAAGACGCAGTGTTGCATCTAGGCGGCGTGATTGCGCGATTTGCACATTTTTATGCAGATTGCGCATTTTAATGAAGTCAGTGCTCGCCAAGTCGCGCATCTGACAATCTTTTCAACTTAATTCAGTTTATCTTCATCGTATCTTTAACGCTTCAGCCATGTTTGGGTTTGACTAAAATGCATACTTAATCCCATGTAGCAGCCGACTGAGTCATCTCGCGTGTGTTTTGTAGTACTTGTCAATATTTTCTTTTTTTCTACTTCAGTTTTTGAGTGTACAATAGCTGTCAAAAATGCCTAAACGTAAAATAAATGAATTCTATTTGGTATGTCATATTGTAAGGTATATAATATTTATAAATATATGATGTTTTTGTTTCGTTGGGGGCCTTATATCTTTATATACATATATAGACCGATTATGTAAAATATTTGATTATGTGACTAGCGCCTGCAGAGCAACAGATAACGTGCGTATTTACGCAATTAATTTTATAAAATACGCAATTGATTTTTTAAGAATGCGTATCAAAACCCATTAAAAAAATTAAAATACGCAATTGTCTTAAAAACCCGTGCGTATTGTCATTTTCATCACCGCAAAATTAATCTGTAGTACACTCGTTGTTTTGGACAAATTATATCGATATGCATGATATCCGAATATTCCCGAATCAATGCCAACTAATCAACGGTCTCCGGTCTTCGACGGTCCCGGTCTCCAAAGACTGACTAAGCATGAGACCGTCGATTTGTCTACTCAGGTTGACGGTCTTTACAGACCGGCAGAGACCATCGATTTTGCGGAGACTGTCAATAAGTAGGTCCCAGCTATATCAATAGACGCTTTGAAAAGCAATATGGCGTCGTACAAAAGGGAAAATGATTTGAAACAAAACAGTCGCAAATAATCAAAAATCAGTCAGAAAACGAACTTGTTAAAAATATTATGGAATATAACATAAGCATTTTATATAAAAAATAAAACAATTGTGAAAAGTTCTAGTAAATTGCTTCTTTTTTTTAAAACAGTTAGGATATCTAAATTTAATTTTATTGGTATTGAAACCATAAAATTCATATCTTCATAATTGAATATCCAATAGATCTTGAAATCGAAGGGTATCGAGTTTTTGAATACCCAATTAAATGGAGCCAATACCCAATTCCAAAGGAAATGATGGAGTAATACCCAATTCACTTTTAAAAGCTTATCTGTTGCTCTGGCCTGTGAGCATTGTTTGGATTAAAATTTTCTTGCATAAGAATTAATTTGTGTGGGAGAGTGATTACTAGTGTGTTTGACTTTTTGTTGTTGTTTTCTTAAATCTTTGATGAAAATAGAACTTTCAAACTCTCGATTTTGAAACATACACAGATGAAATTATGGCTGTTATTAAACTTAATGCAACAGAAAAGTGTTATTGATTTTCTAACAAGACTACACTAACATTTATGTGAAAATTTATATGTGATATTGATCATGTGAATCTCACGGATTGTGGGCATAAATTTATCTGTCCATGGTGATTTGTCGCTATGAGACTATGTTCCCCACGATTTTATGCTTGCCTTTGTCTGCGAATGCAATAATCACTGAGCTTCACTGTATATGCTCAATGTATAATTTTCTGTGTAAAATAAGGATTGAGCTGCTATTGATTAAGTAATAATTAAAGAATAGATATACAGGGAAAATAACACTTTAAATTTGGCTAATTTAAATTCATTCTGCCAGAATTTTTGGATAGATGCCTCCATAATTTTTCATAAACAAATGGAGTTTTGATGAAATGTTGTAAAACATTTTCGTATAGAAATATGTAAGAAAAGTAAATTACCTTAATTGGCGATCATATTTATTATTTTTGTCGAGACCTTCTTTAGACTTTTTATAATTGGCCATTTCTAAAAAAATCAAGTAAGAGATTTTAATATTAACACCGGCGATGTCTATCTTCTGATTGCCGTTCGTAATTTATGTACGGTCAATGAACCAGCTTAGGTTGAAAGGTACTACATAATTAATCACTTGGATCTTAAAGTGTATGTTTATTAAAAGAAGTGTATGTTTATTGAAAGAAAAAAACATTATACTTTAGTACTAATCATTTTCAAAATATAATGATTTTTTTCAACTTCCCTTTTATTTTACTCTACAGTACACCCACGGACTTTCTGTGACTACACCTTAATAATAGAGTAATTAAAGTTTGTATTCGAAAAAGGCTTATTGGATCTTTTGTGTTGTGCTTTCAGATTGTTCAATATTTCCTTATTTTTAGGTACCAATGTTTCATTTTTTCAACACTTTTTTCAAGTCAAATGAATTACTTACCATTTTGAAAATATATTTCATAATTACATAGGGCTCCGCTGGACTGGAAGATGGCGTTGGACAGAAATGAGCATGTGGAAGCAATCCTAACGGACCTGTCCAAGGCTTTTGACTGTCTACCGCATGATCTTACAGTCCAAAAGCTAGAAGCATATGCATGGGTTGTTTGAAAATGCATGTGCTCTAGTTTCAAACTTTCTATCAAATAGATAAAAAAAACAATTAAAATAGGAGGATATCATTGCACTTGGCTTGAAACAATTAAGGGGGTGCCTCAAGGCTCTATTCTTGGACCTTTGATCTTCGATATCTTCATAAATGATATTGTTTACTTTATAGATAAGTCCATCCACTACAATTAAGCAGATGACAATACTTACTCTAGCCTTCTCCAACTCAAAAAATAGACATACTGAAAAATACATTAGAAAATGAAAGCAAAATACCTATTAACTGGTTCAACATTAATAAAATTCAAGTTTACCCTGACAAGTTTCAAGCCATAGCTGTTTGATAAATTACAAATGGACACTTTAAAGAATGTCAAATTGATAATGTAACAATAAAATGTGAAGATTGTGTAAAACTGCTAAGGATAGACATATACTTTTTATTTAACTTTGGTATACAGGTCACCATATAATATGTAAAAGACTGCCAATCAATTAAATGTGCTAATAAGAATAAGGAAATTTTTAAATTCAGAATATCTTCTTCTTGTTTACAAATCTTTTATCAGCGTTAATTTTAACTACTGTCCCCTAGTGTGGCAATTTTGATCTAAAACAAACACAGAAAAACTTGAAAAACTCCAGCATATAGCTCTAAGAATAGCTTTTGATAATCTTAATTCTGCATATGACAAACTATTAAAAAAGGTAAATATGCCTACTTTACATTTATCAAGAATTAAAACTATAGCCAAAGAAGTGTTTAAATGCTTGTATTGAAAGTCACCATATCTAAATAATTTAATTCAATTTGAAAATTCTAATTATTCTTTTAGATTCCAAAAAATGTAAATATTCCAAGGGTCAAAACAGTAACATACGGTAAGAATTCTTTCAGGTTTGAAGGTGCCCAGATATATGGAACAGTCTCCCTAATGACATCTGCAAGGTTGAAAACTACAAAGAGTTTGGGAAACTGATCCAGCTCTGGAGTGGCCCAAGTTTTAAATGTGCTATGTGTCTGTAAATTTGCTATGTGTTTGTTAATTTGTTTAGTTTTAATTTATGTAAAATACTAAGATTGCATGCTTGTTTGCTTTGTTTTTGTGCATCCTTTACAGTTTGCCATGATGCTTTTATTATATGCTGTATCTTATTTTCCCTTTAAACCCTGTATTTTTTGTTAGTTGTATCTTTGCTGTCTGATCTGTATGTTTTGTTTTAATTGAAACTCCTTATTTTCCCTTCCATTTTAGTTAACTTTGTTTGTTACCCTGTATGTGCTTTATCTTTTTTCTTTTTTATGCTGTTTTAGTGCTGTCATAAATTTTTATGTTCTTTTTTTTAAGTAAGTCAATTTTTTAGTTAATCTGTAATTATATATAAATTCTTGATTTAAACTATTACTATTTTAATTAATTTATATTTTCATTATAGTTATTTTTATTTATTTCACATTGCTACATGTATCATACTTAAATTGTCAGTTCATACTATACTACAGTCATTAATTACTTTTTTAAACTGTTAGTACCTATAATACAATATGTACTGTTCATGTCATCATACTTTGCTTTAATGTTATCTTATTGTATATCTCTTCTTAATCTTCCTACTTTTATTTCATGCCTAAAAATGCGACTAGTTTTAAATGTTTTTACTTTCATACCTGTTATATGTTAGAGTAAATATGTTTGATGTCTCTGTTATTGTCGGTAAATAGCTTATTTAGCTAATGTTTCTTGTAATATAACCGACTTAAAATAAAGTTTATTGTATCTTGTATCTTGTAAGCCAAAAAAGTTATTACAGTCAAAATAGGTACAATTCGTGTACATACAAAATTCTAAGATGATTTAAGCGAACTGATCAAAAATATATCTCGTGTAGAAAGTCTGACGTATTTAATTTTTTATTTGCTTTATCAATGGAAGGAAACCATATCCCGTTTTTCAAATCATAGCTCAATTAACTACTGGCTTTTTCAAAATAAAAATCGGATGGAAACCGTCTTAACCGGCAATAGTATCAGCCAATTTAAATATGCCATTTTGTTATATTAAAGGTATGTTTTTCCTCAATAATTAATAACATAAATGCCCTTTAAAAGCTTCACAGTACAGTCTTTTCGAATTTCTTTCATACGCATACTCAACATTGTTTATAGTTTGCTGTGCTCAATATAATCTCCTAAATTATAGACTAAATTTATTAATATTAATACATTGAACCAAGGTGATTTTTTGAGAATCGGTCATTATAAATCAAATTGCAAGATCACCAAAAAACAAAAACAACACCAACAAAAAAGAAGAAAAAACACAACAAAAAAGAAGAACAGCAATAATAATAAATGAATAACTCATTAAAGATATACGAGTTACTTTAAAATACGTTTTCCGGAGTTTTCATATAGACATATAGACAAAATTAAAACTGTTCAGTATAATTTCTTTAAACTTGGCATGTTATTAGAACATGATAACAGAAACATTTTATACGGAAAAAAATTTCGGGTCACCATTCTCATTTTCGAGTTATCTGCCCTTGAATGGTACTTTTTCGTGAAATTCAAGGGTTGATAATTTACAATGAAGCTAAACAATAATTTTTTCTTCTTAATTTCATGAAGCTTACCTTCGTCTTAGTCAATATGCAAAATTTCAGAGTGGATAGTTTTTTTCCCCACTTCTTCTCTTAACTTGCATTTTTTCTTAAAAATTGGCCTATTTTTTATGAATTTAAAGTACCTTTACTTTTAACGAAAAAAGAAAAATGAACAGAAACGATGTAAGGAATTGCATGTAGTTACGTATTGTATTCAACAACAAAAAAAAGAAAAGCATTAGCCAGAAGTAAAAACAAGTATAAGAAGTATAAAATCCCTTACGTCCGTACCGGGACGGCTTTTCATCTGATTTTTTTTTAAAGGCAGTAAAAAAGTTTTGGTCGGCGCTAAAATGTTCCTATGTCAGGTGGGTTACCAGAAACAAATTTATTTATACAAAACTTTATAAGCCGCTTTTAAATATTTTTGTTTTTCATCTGATGCGTCTTATCTATGTCTCTGCACATATTAATTATTGTTCAAAAGGAAAAATATTTTTGTTGGATAATTATCGTATCAATTATTGACATATTATTAATTATAAGTGCATTTTGATTAAGAGAAAACCCTTTAAAGTCTGCTTTGTTTTTAAAGTCTGAAAATAGATATATATATATATAATAACTTTTTAACAAGCATTGTCACAGGCGCTAGTCACATAATCAAATATTTTACATAATCGGTCTATATATGTATATAAAGATATAAGGCCCCCAACGAAACAAAAACATCATGCGGAACAAACAAGAACAATGCTGAAAGAAACGACCAGATCACGGTTATCTCTTTCTGGTTGCCATCTGAAAGGATCAATCCAAGAGTTAAAGCTTTTTATTTCATTAAAATTCTTCAAATAGCAAAGAAATGAGTAAAAGTTTCAGAAAATGCCAATATTTTCAATCCATGTCGTTTTCGACGTCCAATCTATTCATGTATACAAACACGATTTCTGGTCGATTTCTACGAAATAAATAGAAAACATCTAAAATTTCCTCATAAAATTAATAAACAAACTCTTTTTCTATCAATTTGCGAAGTCTAAATTGAACTAGAGCCCTCTTTGTACTCAAATATTCAAAAAATATTGGTTGTAGAAGCGGAGGTCAAGTAAAGTTTGCCATTTGTAATTTGAAGTGACAGATAAATGAAACAAAGAAATAGTATTATACGATTGGTCAATAGTATTCCGGTAATTATCTTAACCAATCAAATCCTTATATAATATTCAGAGCGGAACAGTATACATGCGCTATACATGAAGATAAAATACTGTCACAAGCGAGATCCTTGTGCATTTTTTAATGAAATACGTACGAAGAGGGCATTTGATCAGTGAAGACTTCGCAGATCGATAGGAAAAGAGTTTGTTTATGGAACGTACGTGGAAATTCTAGCCGTTTTTTGTTTTTTTTCGTAAAAATCGATCAGAAATCGTGTTTGTATACATGAATGGACTGGACGTCGAAAACGACATGAATTGAAAATAATGGCATTTTGCGAAACTTTTCCCAATTTCTTTGCTATTTGAGGGATTTTAATGAAATAAAAAGCGTTGGCACTTGGATTGATCCTTTCAGATGGCGACCAGAAAGAGATAACCGTGATCTGGTCGTTTATTGCAGCAGTGTTCTTGTTTGTTCTGCATGATGTTTTTGTTTCGTTGGGGGCCTTATATCTTTATATACATATATAGACCGATTATGTAAAATATTTGATTATGTGACTAGCGCCTGCAGAGCAACAGATAACGTGCGTATTTACGCAATTAATTTTATAAAATACGCAATTGATTTTTTAAGAATGCGTATCAAAACCCATTAAAAAAATTAAAATACGCAATTGTCTTAAAAACCCGT